AGAGCAGCCATCAATACATCTTTACCTAAAATAAAAGCAGGGCCAAAATCAAATATCAAAATGTCATGTCACAAGTTTCCAATTCCTAACTTTTCATGTACTAAAATACAATATTGGAAAGTGAACAACCATTTTCAAATTCCCTGATAAGGATTGTATATCCAAAACATTGTCAAAACAGGATAGTTGACCTACCTGATCTAATCTGGCCATCAGCTTGTAAGACAACTCTCGATCGTAAGTTATTTAAGACCAAAGTTTGATGTGTCTCTGAGATACCAAGTTCCCATGGTAACCCAGCATTTTTAATACCAGTCCAACTACTGGCACCAGTTCCTCCATCATGTCCAGAAATTGTGATATGTTCTGCTTTACCCTAGAATAACAAAATAAAATTCAAAAGTTGACTGAAAAAGAAATGAAATAGCTTTCTTTCTTTCTGGTCAAAATTGACTCTTAGTCAAAGCTTAAAACAACAAAACAAAGAGCTACTCTCTAATAGCATTTTATGCTCAAAATTGCTCAACAAAATCGGAGTTGTAGAGCTGAAATTAGTTGTATTTCAGAGTATGACTGCCTGTAAAATCTTTCTTCTTTGATTGGTCACAAAGAAAAATAACACTGTCATTGTATGATCATCATAATGATATGTGAAACAGCTTCCTGTTTTTATGCCTCTGGTTAAAAAGATCTAATTAAATCAATCAAATAGCATCCTTACCTTAGCTACACCAGAGGCTACAATACCAACACCCATCTCTGATACCAGTTTAACACTGATTCTAGCTTCAGGGTTAGCAGCTTTTAGATCATAGATTAACTAAAATAAACAGAAAGAAACACTTTATTATGCAATGTTCTATCTGAAGTACAACTTTTTATAACAATTCATAAGAATTTTGAGGTTCAGTTTATAAACACTTTCAACACTGAGTGTGAATAAGATAAAATGGCATTTATATTGACTTCTACACATATGACTTTAAGCGTATGATGCTAACATTATGTAATGTCACTAGGCAGTGGCAGTTTCACACTTGCCAGTGGAGCAGCTGGTGAAAAGGGTCAAAAACAAGTGAACATTGAGCCTTTCTTTATTGTCCCCTCAAAGGACTACACTTTTTCCAATTCTTGCATTATTGACAGGTGGAAGATGGGTTGAAAAGTTAGAAGGTGCTATCTCATTTTGAAAGTGAACTTACCTCAGCCAGGTCTTCTATGGAGTAAATATCATGATGAGGAGGTGGACTGATTAAACCTACACCAGGAATTGAATGTCTTGTCTTAGCTATACCTTTTGTTACCTACAAAGAAATAATATAGAATTAAAGTACATGTACATGTATAATCAATTACCATCACATAAAAACACAGCATCACAATAATAACAAGGCATCAAATTAATTAATAAAATGACAAAATGGCACCAATTTAATTGGAAGGCACAATAATGTCATAATGATAACATGGTAATATATTTTAACACTTGCACTAAAAACTATACAGTGAAATGAAATCGAATACTTTTAAACCGTTGTATGTAAAAAAAACTACTAACAGTTCTTGCCAAATGGCTACACTTACACAAACAAAGGTTATAAACTGCTTTTATTCAAATAAGATGCTTTAGTAAAAATCACCAAAAAATGCTTGTCGAAAAACAGTCAGAAGTGTTGTGTCACAATAACCATATCTTCCAGAATATCTACTGACCTTATAACCTGGTAGTTCACCTCCTTCTCCTGGTTTAGCACCTTGGGCCATTTTAATTTGTAATTCATCAGCATGTGTTAGATAGGAACTGGTCACACCAAATCTTCCTGAGGCAACCTTAAATATGAACACATTATCAAAAGTTGGTGCAAATCTAAGGGACATGGATAAAGCACCTACATACACTTATATTTTGCCTCAATGAACTAAATTGTCTGCCAATTATTGGGCTTTCCAATTATGCTAATGATTACAGATTAGGGTGGTTCAAAGGAAACACAGCACTGGGTTAAAGCAGTGTTCTGTAAGCAATTTTCAATGAACAATTCTCAATAGAGAGGGGGAAATAAATCTAAAAGCAATTCAAAATTACCTGCTTGATTTTAGAGCGAGCATTGAATTGGGGATCTTCATTAAGATAACGTTCTGAATCCTCACCACCTTCACCAGTATTAGATTTACCACCAGCTCGGTTCATAGCAATAGCTAATGTTGAATGAGCTTCATAAGATATACTTCCAAAACTCATGGCTCCTACAAATATATAATACATTAATAATTACTCAATAACTTAATTGCAGTATACTTCTTTCAGATATTTTTGTTTTAAGTGTCAACAAAAGGTGTCTATTGCAGTCAAGGTAAAAGACAAAGTTCACAATAGCTTGACATTGTGGACAAGAATATCGGATCACACAGAGTACACTGTAAATCATAGACACATTGCATTGAAAAATAATGTCTAACCTGTACAGAATCTTCTAACAATAAATTTAGCATCTTCAACTTCTGAGATATCAATAGCTTTATCTGCATCTATAAACTCCAGCTGACCACGTAATGAGCATTTCTTAGTGCTCTCCCAAGCTGATTCACTAAATCGTCCATAGGCATCCTTAGAATTGGTTTTAGCTGCTTCCTGCAATAATATATAGAATTCTGTGACTAAGACATATAACATAAACAAAACAAGGCTTGTCCATGAACATAACAAGTCTTGCAATATCTGATTTTTATGCAAAAAGATTTTGTTGACAGTTGCAATAAAAGGTTACCTAACAATGCAAACTTTAGTTACAATTGCCACTTTTCATTAAACTTTTTTGTACATCTTGTCGTTTTGAGTGCATCATGTTTAAAAGACATACCTGTAAGTTAGCTATAGACATAGGATCATTGATATGTTTTTCACCACCATCTCTCCAATGATATTGTCCTGGATTCATGACTAATATATTATCTCCCTTACGTTCACAATAGGCTACGTCATGACGATTGATGGCCTGGAAGATAGAAATACATGAATCTAAGCTACATGTATGCTAGACAACATAATTTCACAAATGACATTAGCTCCTTTGAAACTCTGATACCATTTTCTTACATGTTGATGAACAAAACAAAAATTTTCTGTTTCATCTGCACCACATTCATTTAAACTTCTTTAAAACTCCATTAACTCAAACAATGACAGTTAATTTAACTACAGTATTTGCAGCTAAGTTGGATGTATCTATGTTAGCCCAGATAATCTGTATTATCTGTCTTCATTTCACTTATAATGATTCTTACCATCTAAGCTTGGTTGAGAATTAGGAAAAAACGTCACTAGATTTTCAATCGCTGACAGAGATTAGACCCTACAACTACCATTTGTTTAATTAGTCATAAAAATGGCATCAAGATTCTGCAGCTCTAACCATCTTAGCTACAAATAACCCCAAATAATTTCAGATCATGTCTAAGACACAAGTGGCTTATGGAATAGCTCAGTCTTTAGCAAGTCGCTGCTGTCGAAGCCCTCTCAATGTAGGCACATGGCTAGTGCTTCCTAGAGTCAGCTTTATGTCAGCTTCATCCTCATCACAAGTCCTAGTACTTACCTCTTGAGAGAGAACTTTAAAATCAACTCCACCAATTCTAGAAGCTGTACCTTCAAAACATAGCTCTATAACTTCTTGAGATAAACCTAAAGCTTCAAATATCTGGGCTCCCTGTGAAATAAAACACATTATTGACATCAAAATTATAACTATCAAAATTTCTTTCATTCTTCTTTGCTACTTATTTTCAAGATACTTGGAAAACATTCAAAATGGTGGACAATCTACAACATACCTTATAACTGTGGAGAGTGGAGATTCCCATCTTAGCCATAACTTTAGATATTCCTCTAGCACATGCTGCGCGATAATTCATATAGATTTCTTCATCTGCTAGTGGTGGATCTAATAGTTTCTGTTCACGCAGATGCTTGATTGTCTCAAATACCAAATATGGACATATAGCATCCACACCATAACCCAGCAAGGTGCAGAAGTGATGAACCTCTCTACAAACAAAAAGTAATAATAAGGTAAGCAGGCCTACAAGTTTTCCTCTAATATATTCTGAAATCTAGCAATACTGTTACTGGCAATAAGGAACAACTTTCAACTAACAAGAAATTGAAATGGTGAAAACAGAAGCTACAGATGTCCACTATTCACAAACAAAAGCAAGAAAACCTTTTTTGATTTCTATTCAGTTTTCCACTTACCTTGCCTCTCCAGTTTCAACAACCAAACCAACTTTCATTCTCAGTTTTTCATTGATCAAATAGTGATGTACTGCTCCAACAGCCAACAGAGAACTGAAAAAAAAAAATCGAATATGGCTTCCAAAATATTTTTTCAAAGAAAAGTACATGGCAATTCTGATTAAAACCTAACGTTAATGCTTTCTTCATGTCAGAAATTACAATATCTGTGTCAGAAATTACAATATCTGTGTCAGAAATTACAATATCTGTGTCAGAAATCATGTGTCAGAAATCATGTGTCAGAAATTACAACATCTGTGTCAGAAATTACAATATCTGTGTCAGAAATTACAATCTGGTGTCAGATATTACAATCTGGATGGTAGACAATGCAATATAGTTGTCACAAAATACAATTTCAACTGTGCTGTCAAAAATTAAAATCTAGGTGTCAGAAACTGCAATCTTGGTGTCAGAAATTACAATCTTCATGTCTGATAGTATAATTTAGAAATCTTGTCCTGAATTTTAATCTTGGTGTCAGAAATTACAAATCAAGATGTCAGAATTTGTAATTTTGAAGGTAGAAATTGATTTCTAGGCATACCTGATTGGAATATTGTCTGGTCCAGCATTTCTATCAGATAATATAATCAGCTTATTGTCTTCAGCTGCATCAGCTGCTTGTTGGCAGAGTTGTTTTAAAGCTGGTAATAGTCCTGCTTGTCCATCTTTAGTCGGGTATGTCATATCCAATACTTTAGTCTGGAAAAAAAATCACAAGCCCCTGAATGTAATGTAAAATGTAAATTTGACCAAATATCAAAATTCGGTGATGTTCCTTGTGACCAATCAAATTTAACAATAAGAGCATGGATCACATATTAGTTGTTGAACAGGCTCATGCTCTGTTGTTCGATAAAGAAGTCCAAACCGTCAATCCTGCAAATTTGGCTGACAAGTCAAATGCATGAAGGTGACATAAATTGATTGAAGTACATGTACCAACCTTCCAGCCTTTATGAGTTGTATGTTTTAAGACTTCCATATCCCATAATGACAATATTGGTTGTTCTAACCATAATCTACGACACTGTTCAGCACTTGGTTCTAATATATTATGTTCTGGACCAACCGGACAGGCCTAAAATAATCAAATTTTACCATTGATTGATTGATTGATTGATTGAATGACAAATGAATGAATGATTGAATGATTGAATGAATGAGTGAACCCATGCTCACGTTCAGGCATCAATGGGCTCCAGATAAATAATGCTTTGAACACAATTTGTGTTTGCTTTAACAATAAAAAAGTTTGTCTTTACACAATAGAGTGTATTTACAGAGTTAATTCATTGAGTTCATGTCTATATATTTTAGGGTATACTAAAAAATTGTGTTTTGCACTTGTATTCTTGTCTTTACAAAATTTGCATTTGTATTTGTACAATATAATTTATCTATGAAAAAACTTCTAATCAGTATGCTACTATATGCTGAGATATCTTACAGATTTCAGTTTGTCGTTGCACAAATCTTAACATATTAATGCGAGTACATTCTAATACTTACCAAAGACATGACAATTTTCTCTCGGAAGGGATCAATTGGTGGATTGGTAACTTGAGCAAATAATTGTTTAAAATAGTCAAATACTAGTGGATTAAACTGTGATAGACAAGCTAGTGGTGCATCATTACCCATAGATCCTAAAGCTTCTTTTCTGGAGAACACAAAAAAATTATAAATTAAATGAAAAATCTAAATGTCTGTCTAAATATATTGTCAGCTGTCTTAGACCTGTACATTTAGGAAAATCAAACCCTCCCTTCCCCAAAATCAAATACATCACAGTTCAGACAGTCACTTCCAGGTTGTCATTAACATTCTAACGTGCAGCATGCATCTAAATTTTCATGATTCCTTTATTGTCTGAGAACTACCTGCCAGATTTCATTTGTTTAAACTGATACAGACAGCTGTATCAGCTTTATTTCTTGAATTTTGAATTCACATTAATGCTAAATCATGGGGGTTTAGTTTCCAGAATTTGGATGTAAGAAGCCTCCGACAGGACAGGAAAAAGAAGATCCCTCTTAACTCCAATCTTAAAAAAGCTGGACTTCAGGGCAGGAAAGACACTTACTTGTCTCTTATCATAGGAAGAACTAGAAGATTGAGAGCTTCAATAGTATATCCAAACAAAGGTAGCCTAGGATCTTCTTCTACACAACCACCATGACCAAAATCTTGATACTTGATCTCATGTTTCAGGGTTAATTTAGGATCATGGGCACCTCGTAATTCAGCCATGGATATTGTCTAAAAAATACCGTAAATGTGATTCATGGTTCATCATGCCACAATCGAAATGAGAATTCAAACAATGAATTCTTTTGGGGCTTTGCTATGGTAACATCAATTGGTATGACAGTGTTCGTGGTAAAAGCATCAACCTGCTTTCATGGTTGTCAAGAGGAGATGGTGCATTAACTTAATCAACAGAAATTGAGTTTAGGGAAACATGATATTGCAATAATTGAAACAGATTACCTACCTCAGAGAGCCATTTACCAACAGGTCTTAAATTAGCTATTTCTTTCTTCAACTGTTCATCAGGCAAGAAGGTTTTTAATTTAGTATCAACCAATAACATTCTACCAGGTTTCAAGCGACCCTGAAATTTCAATGAATAAGCATATACCAAATGAACATCATTTACCATGTAGACTATGAAAGGATTGTGATGATCTCCAAAAAAATGCAGCAATCAAAGAAAAAGACATATTGACAAAGAGTCGAAAAGTTTTCTTAACCTGAGTGAATCTCAGGGTGTATTTAAACCCCATTTCTGGCCTCAAAATAAGTCAACTTTCCACACTTTTCAAGATGAGATACAGCTGCAAATGGGTACAGATATTGTGAAAAAGACAGGATCCTAGAGGTCTTGAAATTGTTATCTTTGTTAGATAAACATTATCCTTTCTATTTTTTCAACCGTCTCACCAATCTAGGACATTTTTCTTCAAGAAAGGACAACCATTGTGACATACCTTTTGGATGACTTCTTCTGGTTTTCTATCAGTGACACCTACTTCACTAGACATGTACATAAAATTATCTTTAGTTACATAATATCTGGATGGTCTTAAACCATTCCTATCTAATATAGCTCCAATATATCTACCATCAGTGAATGTTAACAATGCTGAAATTGAAGATTTGATACATATTCAGATAAAGTACCTAAAATACCTTTAATGCCAATAATCATTAAGTAAGTATAAGGCCAGTATGGTGGCAGCAACAACCTCAAGCCAATATATATTGGTATCCACATACCGGTCTTGTCCTTTTACCATTTTGCATCCACACCAAAAGTTAGCAGGAATAGTGGGAACCTCAAGATTTTTTAATGGGACAGCCGTCCATTGGCTTAAATCAGTATATAGTGCATGAAAACTTACCTGGTCCATCCCATGGTTCCATACCAAAAGCACTCCATCTGTAGAATGCTTCCTTCTCAGCAGGCATATATTTATCATTCTGCCAAGCTTCAGGAACCATTGTCATCACAGCCTACAAAAAAAACCAGATTTTATTTGCAAATCCATTTTTGAATATTGGCCAATTACTGAGATCTATCAAATGGTATTTCATTTTACATGTTTCAGAACAAAATTGTCTGCAGACGAAGGGAGACTGGATAATGCTGATAAAGACTTACCTCAGGTAGACTTCGACCACCAGTCATACAGAGAAACTCTAATACATTGTCCACACAGCCAGAATCTGACATACCCTCTTCAACTACTGGATACAACATGCTGAGTTTATCTTTAAATACATCATTTTTCATGACTCCCTCTCTAGCTTTCATCAAGTTACAGTTTCCTCGTAGAGTGTTAATCTCACCATTATGGGCTAGAACTCTGAATTAAAACAAACATCATCTGTATGTCTAAATGTTCCTTCAACCTGGTTTGAAAAATCTGAAGGTATGTTTTGATCCATGCCAGAATTGAACCATTCTGGTTATCAAGCAAGCGTTCTAACTCCCTAAGCCACCACAGTTCAATTTGGAATTTGGATCATAGAATTGGTTTTTTATTGTTTCAGATTTGTACAAATACGGCTGTATTCCTGTTTTTTGACTGCTCGACACAGCAGACACAAAAAGAGTTTTACCTTTGAGGATGAGCTCTCTCCCAGGAGGGAAATGTATTGGTAGAAAAACGACTGTGGATCAAAGCAATATGAGTCTCAAATTCAGGATCATGTAAATCAGAGAAGTATTCCCATAGCTGGCTTGTAGTCAACAATCCCTGAAAAAACATCAAGATTATCCATCAACAGCGTTTAAAATAACCAAACTTAACCCTTCAATTGATGTACTTAGTCTTAAAAGAAAGATTATATAGTTAAAGGGATTGTAAAGATGTTTTCTAAACTTGTATGTGAAAACTGGACACTGATAGCATCAATTTACACCATTCCAATTTTCAATCAGACCTCTGTGTTTCGTGTAAATCCACTAAGCTAGGTGTTTGATGTTGTCACTAATCCCAAAATCTGATAACATCACATAGGGCCCTTAGCAATAGTGACGTCATCAAACACTTAGGTTTAGTGGAATTTCAGGAACAACAGACGTCTGATTGAAAATTGGAATGATGCAAATCAATGCTATCAGTGTCCCCAATACACATAAAAAGAAAACAGAAAACCTCTCTTCAATCCCTATAAGACATAATTAAGACATTTGTAAATTCAGTAAGCATGCAATTTTATGTAGACTTTTTCCCATATTTACAAGTTGTTTATTATCATTTTCTTACATAAAACTGTTAAAACAATTCTTGGTGATAATAATAAAGTGCTATATTTAACACTTCTAGATATCAAAATAGCTACAGTAATGGAGAAACTTGTTTAATTTCATTTATTCACACAAAGATGGCAGACAATGTTGACAAAATATGGATTTTGTAATTTAATTCAAATTTTATTTACAAACCTTACAAAAACTGTTTGACACATAATAAATTTTGTGATTAAAAATTGATTCAGCAGCTGCAGTATGCATGCTTTGTCACAATTAGAATTATTTTTAGAATAACTTGGTACAATGTTTTATGCATTCATATCTTAAAATAACCTGAGTAATATTAGTAATAATTTTTAAGAGAAAACAATAATGTAATTTGTTAATTTTCATTTATTTCAGGCAATAGAATCCATCATTCTAACCAAGAATACATTTAAAGGGATTGCAAAGAGGTTTTCTTAATTTTTTATGTGTATATGGGACACTGATTGTATCAATATGCACCAGATGTTTTCAGATGTTTCTGGTTCCTGCAGTTTCACTGAAACTAAGTGTTTGATGATGTCACTAATGGGGAAATATGCTTTCATAACGTCATTAATCTCTTACTTAAGTGGAATTGCGGGGACCACAGGTGTCTGATTGCAAATTGGAATAGTGCCAATTGATGCTATCAGTGTCCTCGATACACATAAAAACTTTTAAAAATCCCTTTAAAAATATTCCTGGTTAAAATAATGGATTCTAGTTTGGTATTTAAGTAATAATCAATAGAAACATTAGTAACAAATATTTTACATTATTCCAACTTGTTTTGTTAAATGATTTCCATCAGGATGTGTTAATGATCTGTCTAATAGCTCTTGAAATTGTGCCAGGAATCCATCAAAGAGGAACATTTTAGAAATTTGATTTATTAGTTTCAGAAGTTCCATGTCAAAGACTTGCAGGATCAATATTTGTCAGATCGTGAGGAAATTTTAACTTCCAAAGAACACTGCATTAGAAATCCTTTATCAAACTTAAAAAACAACTTCAAATAAATTCCATAATAAGATGGCTTTAATCGTGATTCTTCAATTGCAAATATCTTTGATTTAAAATCACAATTAAACTAATGCAAAAATATAAGATTGCAATTTTTATTTTAGTAAACCAGTATGTTCCATTATCAACTTTTCAAAATGTCATTGAGATAAAATGTGGACAAAATTCTTAGTTTCTGGGCTCTGTTTCACAAATTTTTAACTTTTAATATCAAGTATACCTTGAACTAGAAATTTCACTTTCCATTTCTTATGTAGTCTCAAGAAAAAACGAGGTGTCATTTTAACTTTCAAACTCTGATAATTCTGGACATACATGAATTGAAGGCTCAAATTTCAACGGTGAGCTGTGAACACTATTGATCATTGGCTTAGCTTAGAAATTAACGGGATTGTAAAGAGATTTTCTAAATTTTTTATGTGTATCGGGGATATCGTTAGCTTCAATTTGCACCATTCCAATTTTCATTCCGACGTCTGTAGTTCTTGCAATTCCACTAAAACTAACGTGTTTTATGATGTCACTATAGGGGAGCTACTGGAAACTACTATTGCTATCCATGCAGTTCCCCTCTAGAATGGTGCAAATTGATGCTATCAGTATCTCCGATACACATAAAAAGTTTAGAAAACCTCTTTACAATCCATTTTAGACTAAGGTATGATTGGTCAAATGAATGGTGAAGCTGCCCCTTTAAATGCACTATATTAGGAATCCCATTGTTAGTTGGACAGAAAAGATACTATAGTCTTTCCAACAACTTGCCTAAATGACTTTCTATATTTCAGGAATACATACTGTAACCATCATAGATTGAGAAGAAAGTATTCAACTTTATTGTAATTAAAACATACATTAACTTTTTAGACATTTTGCCAAAATACTGGAAACATAACACATAATTTCACTTTTACATCAGAATTTGTGAAGTGTAAAGGTCAAGGTTGTCTAATTTCCATCTCGCAGTAGAAATTTCAAATATGTCATTTTATTAATTTAATACCTTCCATTACTTGACAGGAAATTAAAATGATGCCACAAGCTGATACTTAATTACATTACTGATGTACAGTCATCTACAAATATTTCCTATAAAATTTGATAGAGCTTTCAGGCTCTGCTGCACCTCTCTTGGGGGTTGATTCGGATCTTAAATATTTGTAAATAGTTTTCAGAAGTACTAAAACTGCTCGAAAATCACATAATTCCTTCAAATTTACCTTTAACTAGAAATTTCCCTTTCCTTTTCTTCGTCTCTTTGATAAATGACAAACATGGATTTGAAGGCTCAAATTTTGATGGTGATCTGTGATGACAATTACTTTCAGAATGAAATTCCACTTCTGTTATTCTCCTTATCACTAATATATGTACAAGCAACATCAACACTTCAATCAAAGAACAGTTTTCTATTTATTTAATTGCATGCAAACTAGATCTTTATTTTTATTAGCAGCTGAAATTAGTTTTGACAGTTATCAAAAGTTTAAATCTTGTTGCTGACAGGTGTTTTTGATATACAACCTTCATCAGAATAGCATGATGGAAATAAAGTGGTTAACTTCAAGCCAAGCATTTCTATTATTGAGTAATTCTAAACTAATAACAATATGTAGGTTGTTTATAAAGGTATAGAAACTATGGAAAACCACTTTTCTTCTGGTAAAATTGTGCCGCAAGAAAATATTCATTATGTTGTATCAGGTAATATGAACTGTCTTATCCAAATCTAATTCAAATCAAATTACAATTTTGTGTCATTATTAATATTTTTTTTTACGGTCTCCATTGTAATCTAACAACAATTATACCAAGGTCACATACTGGTGAAGTTTCAAGCTATTTATAACAGAAAATCACCCGCCACTCTCCCGCCAATCAGAATCACTTTTACAAGTGAGTATTGGCAGTCTCAAAATCTCATTGGTCATATACTATACTTTGGGTTTCGCACTTCCCACAATTAAAGTTGCAGATTTTGAATTACATGGAGTGATTGGTTGAAATTAACATCAATAGTACGCAACCTTGGTATAAATCTCTTTAGATTACATCAGACATGATAATCAAAGTGTGTGGGGGAGTGAGAGAGGCCTATTTAAGAGATAACCTGATAAAGACTGACTTCAAAGGTTTGTACTTGACAGTGTTCATTGGTAATTGGGTTATCATAACTGAATTACAATGTTACAGCAAGGACAAAAATATTATCAGAATGTAATCATTGGGACAATCATGCAGACACAACATGGTCAGGAAGCAGTCTACTGATAACAAAATAGATATATTAATCTTTATTGATCAAGGTCCACACGGAAAAATGAAAGTTTTTATGTCCTTCTTTTATCTTTCTGAATGGACAATGGAAAATGAACACAGCCATGCATGGTGCAACGATGGAAATTTTGGGAAGAAAGCAGCCATTGGCATACCTGGAAAATGCCTGATGGGGAGGAAGGCCCCTTGGGGCTGAAGGTCTGGGCCCCTAGAAGCCAACAGATGGCCAATAAGGAATCTTCAACATTAAAAGGAATCGTAAAGACGTTTTCTAAAAATTAAATACGGCAATGAAACTATAAAACTATGAATTAATTCATCAAGGTATCCTATGGTGAAAATCAGTGTTTAAAAAAACTTGACACAAAAGGTTGTCAAATTTTTCAAATGAAATTTTTTTTTCAACACGTCTGCATTGAGTGCATGTCTCTATTTATGTTTTGTGTACAATATAACATGTACATACACATAAGTAAATGTATATTAATGTTCTTTTCTTGTCATTTATTGTTCTAGCAGTGTATATATATCATGCCTATCTTAAAGATGGGTTTCCCTTATTTTTTTAGTATCAAATTAAGCAAACTATTTGATTAATTGTTGTTTTTAATGAATTATGTATTCTTAATCATATCATTATGTTCTTATTGCATATAATTAAGTGTTTTAACCAATCATAAATGTGTCCATGTATGTTTAGTCTGGATAAACAAAAAAAAGACTTTTTAACCTCTATTGATCCCTCACTCATTGGAATTCTGCTGGTATTTCTCTTCTAATTTAGCTTATTATGAATTAATTATGGACATGTGAGACAAACTGGTATTAGAAGACATTAGAACACCTCTACTTTCTATTCATATAAGTATTAGAATTTTTATTTCTAAATGAAAATAAGGGAACCCATCTTTTAAGGACATGTTCACCATCCATTATACAAGTCATACCCTTAATACAGGAATTTTTTTGCTTAGCCAATCATTAATAGTGTTCACAGCTCACTGTTGGAATTTGAGCCTTCAAATCCATGTTTGCAAACCTTTTCTTATGCCATATACAGGTACATAGAAAAAGAAAGTCAAATTTCTTGTTTGAGGTGTTTTTGAACAGATGAAGTGATTTCATTGCAGTTTTAGTACTTCTGTAGGCTTAGTATTTACATATACTCAAGCCCCAAATTAACCCCTGAAAATGCTGTCTGTTCCCCTTTAAAGTTTCATATACTTATGTTTATCTATATGATACTTAACATGTAATAGTGTTTACTAATCTCTTACTTACAAAAGTACAGCTTAATATTCAAGGGTACTGTACACAGCCAAGGTGACTTTGTTCCGCAAGTCCTATTATTACTATGAAAACATGAATATCAACTTGTGATCAATGTTATTGACTGCATTTTAGTCCAATAAGGTTCATTTAAAAGTGCTTTTATACATATTATGTAATCAACTAGTTCATACTGCTTTAAATTAAAGTGAAAGTATGCACCAATTGACTTGTCATGTATTTAAAGGGCCAGTATGCAAAATTTCTATTGTCAAAAAAATTCGGAAAAAAGAAATTAGAATTAGGCTGGTAAAAAAACAGAGCATGTTAATTGTTTGAGCAGTTTGACCTAGTTTTGGTGTTTGGCTTTATAATCCCTTTATATTTTTTGTTGACACAATTCTTGTGAAGCTACTACATATACTTCTATAATGTTAGCAATATTTTGCTATATTGCCGAATATTATTCACCCAAATATTAGCGAAATAACTAACCTTGTAGACAATGGTCTCTGTACTCAAACTACAAACATAAAATCTGGAAGTTTCTTTAGGTATATGGTGACAGGAATATTTTCTCAACATATAAACCTGAAAATAGGCATACAATTGACAAATTTCAAAAACATAATCTATGTGTGTTACTAATAGCTTATAAAGGCTTGCCATTATACTTATTGAGTACCTACAAAAAACACAAACATTTACTTTCCCTGTATGGAAATTTTGAAAAATGATGGTAGTGATCAGTGACTGTCGCCTCCCACGCAGCCCTGAAAGCAAGTTTTTCAGACAAAAAACCCATAACTAAGTTAGAAATTTGGGCAATCTCAGATTTTTCGTCCCCCCTCGGACATAAACCTGGCCCCGCCATGGGTAGTGATTATATACATTTAAGTGTAATATATTAAATAGATGATACTGAATAAAACAAAAGATATCTTCTTCTTGTCTTGATCGAGTTTAAATTTATTTCAGGCAATATATTGCATGTTATTGAATTAATATATATGACAAGTATAGTAGTAGTATAAAAAAACAACAGAAAAAGATTAATTCATTTTGCAGTTTTTTCTTAACATTTCCATGTAGGCAGATATATTAACTAAATCAAATAACTTGAATTTTAAGAAAATATCATTACAACAAACATCTGGGGAATAATGATACTTCATTACTTGATAGTATATATCAATCATTTGGTCTGGAGTCTGTCAAACATATTCTAACTTGCACCCAATAAAACATATCTGCATAAACTACCGGAAGTAGATTTCAGGGAACGGGGGTGGATGTTTGTTGTTGATATATTTGAAGAAATCTGATTAATATTAGAGTTGGAATGATACTGTCATTATCATGATTCACTTACCCCCTAAAAAAAAAGTTTGTACCCCCAATTTAAACCCATTTAATTTCTAACAAAAAAATGATTTTTGTATGTTTTTTGCTTCAAAATATGTGTCAGAATTTTCTTGTTGAGAACCCTTAAACGCTCTATGGGAGATTTACGCCTATGCTCTTCCACATCAACTTCGACAGTTGCCTTCCCACTCCCCTTCCAATGGCACCGTCACTGTGTATATTGCATTTCAATCTTTACCTACGGATCGTGTTCATTTAAGAAATAATTTGGAGTTTATTGGAAACAGAATGGCAACAGTAAATCAATATTGATGAGCAAACTTTATTAATTGGGTCCATAACAATAGATCAATACTAAGAAATTAATAACTGACCATTAGGTTAATTAAGATCATTAATGATAATAGACCTGCTGATTGAACTTCATCATCATAATTCCATAGCCCATTCATTAGGCTAGGTCATGTCTCAACAGTTATTGTTACCGATATTTGTCAAATCTTTGCGAATCTTGACCTTCTGCAACAAGATTATCATGTTTCCAACAAGATTTTGGACATCAAACCACTTTGATATTTGTCTCCAATTATGATTGAAAATAAATGAGTTTGGGACTCCTAAGTATGGCAAGACATAATTTGACCTTGAATTATCAAATATACCAAAGGTCATAAGGAAAGCTTAATGTATAGAAGTGCCAGAGGTCCATAAGTGACCTTCACAAGGTCAATATAGTATAAACAATATCACAATATCATACTAGATTAATAAGGCCACCATGAATAACCATGAACCTTGGGTACATGAAAGTATCATGCTACTAATTAATGACCAATAGACCTACTGATAAAAGTACTAAGTTACTATTATTACTACTTAGGTAGTATTAGTAAGACTAGTGTTCTTAGTCTACTAGACTTTGGTCAATGTCCATTACGAACAATTCGTAATAGTTTGACATTGTGAAGATTTTAGGGGAATATACATAAATAAATCATGTAGAAGAGATATTCATCTTACCTAAAGTTTTGACATATAACATTTTTTAACTTGTATGATTAATGCTGGTACATTATTTTGATAAATGGAAGTCAACATGAGTGATTTCTAGAGATATGTTTAATTGAATGTAAAAAAAACCAATCATATTCATACGATAAAAAAGTAAACATTTTAAGTTAAAGGGATACTACCTCTTAATATGGGCATTAAAGTTCATTTTTGTCAATATGTGTATATATTCATCAGTTAGAATTACCAGGTGCCATGACTAAAGAATAGAATCTCTATATAACACGATATATCCATTAAACTAAGTAATTATTGAAAAACTTTTCAAAATTACTTAGGTTAATGAAGTTTTTCTTAGTTTTATTGATAGATAAGTCCACCGATGAATAAAGATTCATTTTAACCAAGTTTCAAAATTGCAAATTTTTGGTCATCCTAAGAGGTAGTATACCTTTAATATGTTTCTAACATCAAACAATGATAAAACTAAATTACCTGTCTTTTGAATTCCTCACCATCCTTGGAACCTTTGACAAATACCTGTGGATAAAAATCATATTCTGAAACTTCTGCTTAAAAATATGACATAATACATTTAGAATGATATGGATTATGAAAGCAAATGAGGAGGCTAATTTTGATGAATGGCGTCTTAAGATTAATTTGACATTTTTCATTTTAAAATTTTATTACTTATATCGATTTTTTGCGTGTTCAATTTTGACGAGATTGGGGAAATCACTACTCATTTCGATAGACATTTGCTTATACCTTAAAAAGATTGTAAATTTTAATGTGTATCATGGACAATGATAGCATCAATCTGCCTTAATCTAATTGAAACTAAGTGCTTGATGACATCACTAATCGCAAAATATGCTTTATCACATAAGGATTAGTGACGTCATCATACACTTTTTTAGTGGAATTGAAGGAACCACAGACATCTGATTGAAAATTAGAATGAAGAAAATTAATGCTATCAGTGCCCCCAATACACATACATTTTTTGAAAAAGACCTCTTTACAATCCCTTTAAAGGTTCAAGCCTATGCCACCCAAACACCTAGCAGACGACAATCCAATTCAGATATGTGTCTGCTTATGTAGTATGGAATCAACAACCGAGTTATTTTAATGCATGTGATAATTTTAATGAAACAAAATCACAATTGATTTTCTTTTCAGTTTTTTCTGCTGAATGGCCAACATTCAGGTTTGTGAATTAGGTTAGGTCAATGCCCGTTCTAGTTCATGAAAATGTAAATGGGTGCAGCTCACAATATTTTATGCTTACACATGAAAATAAATTTGCAATAATAACAGTGACAATATAAATACATTGATGTCAAATTAATCTCTAGTCTTTCAACGGCCATTCTTTTATCATATGGTATGAGTGCACAAAGGAGACAAATTCCAAAGTCCAAAAGTGAAATATTTCTGGAATGCGTTAACAGTACATAAGGCCAAGCCAAGTTGTAAATATACTTATTTACAGTCTTAATGCACTAATGCAACTTTTTACAAGTTAATATCTTACCACAAAAGATTTTTTCAGGCTTTTTGAACAAACAATTTTTGGACTTTTGAAAGAGATTGCAAAGAGGTTTTCTAAAATTTGTATGTATATCCAGGACACTGAATGCATCAATTTGAACCATTCAAATTTTCAATCAGACGTCTCTGGTTCTTGCAATTCCACTTAAACTATGAGTTTTATGACGTCGCTAACGCAAAGGTCCTTTTAGGTGAATAGCAACTCTTACGAAAGTGACATCACAAAACGCTTAATTTTAGTGAAATTGTAGGAACCACAAACATCTGATTGAAAATCGGAATGGTGCAAATTGATGCTATCAGTGTCGCTGATACACATAAAAAAATTTAAGAAAATCTTTACATTCCCTTTAAATATTTATGAAGGGATATAATTGTCTAATTATGGGTTTTCCCAGCTGATAAATCAGCAGTTCTAGTGAAAAATTGTGGAAAGGTGCACAAAGACTGTAAATAAGCAGATGGAAAAGCACTTGGGGGTAAAACTTTTGCAGCAGAAACAATTTTTGAGGAACATGAATGCAAGACAACAATAAATTGATAAAAAACTTAAGTAATGCTTTTGAATGATGAATAAATTATGGAACTAAGATTAATTTTAAGTGTGGAATTTCAGAGGACAAAAATTTTAGAGTGGTACTAACAAACCAAACATGTTTCCATTTTCGAAGGAAATCTGGGATCTCACAGCAGCCTCACTCCAATTCTAAGTGAGCGCTTCTAAGAGAGGAGTTATCACGATAAACACTGAAAAAATAGTCATTATTAACCACCTAACAAATCATACAATTAGCCTACTAGAATATTCAGATCATTTGAAACTGTTATTCAAATCATTTTAACCTTCATTTGAATCTTTTTTACAGATCATTTGAAACTTTTTTTCAGATCAATTGAAATTGTTATTCAGATCAAAAATTGATTGAAACTATTACTTTTTCAGATAATTTCACTACATAATTTCATATGCTTAATCTGAAACTATTATTCAGATCAATTGAAACATAACCAAATCATTGTTCATTCAGACCTTCAAAAATTTTTTTCAGATCATGTGAAATTTCTGGAAATGCCATAAGATCATTTGTGGTGGAAATTGGTAATCAGATACCTATAGATAATTTTGAAATTTCATTCAGATCGTGTGAAATTTCAGATATTGGACTCTCTTCATTGAGCTACATTTAAGTCATTGTAAGAAATTTGTTACTGTTATTCAGATATATAAAAAGTCTATGTACAGTATCATGTTTCAAAAAATTGAAATGAACTTTCTTAACAATTTGTCATTAACAACCAATACTGACAGTGCCATCAGGTGTTTTGAGAAGGAAAACATATACTGATCTCAAGTAACAGTTATATGACTTTACAGTTTGGAAATTTTGCTAAAAAATACCAATTAGTACAATAATTAAAAAGAAAGTTCATCTCAAATTTAATTCCATCATTTCTGCTTCAATAATCATTTATTTATATCTCATTGGAATTTGATGAAATTAAAAGCTTTTTTTATCCAGAAATGTGTCTGACATTTAGAAATTATTAATTCTGTTTCATGGAAACCAAAAGAACTCATTGACATTACATGAATAGATAAAAACAAGCTCTCTAGTCATAGAGGTAAATAATTTCGAATTACAAGTCAGTTTTTCCTGAAATAATATTCTAATAATTAATCATAATAAGCCAGTTTCGCAATTATATTGCCTAATGTCATGACATATAATTTCAAAGTGGATTAGTAGCGATCATATATTAGTCAGCATTTATATAGATTTTATTATGTAAATCAATTCGAGAAATTATGAACGATGAAAATGAAATGATGGAACAAAACATGATTTTCATTGGATACTGTCTGAAAAGGGGAGTGGTTTATCTTTAGCATTGGAAAATGCTCAATATTGAGCATAATGCAATTTGATTTGTTTTAAGGGATTGTAAAGAAGTTTTCTAAATTAGCTATATGTATTGGGGACACCAATAGCATCAATTTGCATCATTCCAATTTTCAATCAGACCTCTGTGATTCCTGCAATTCCACTAAAAATAAAGGATACATTATCAAACACTTCTTCTTTGTGGAATTGCTGGAACCACAGACGTCTAACTGAAAATTGGAATTGTGCAAATTGATGCTATCAGAATCCCTGATACACATAACAATTTAGAAAACCTCTTTACAATTCCCTTAAAAGAGTTTTTATTGAAATCAAAGTGAGTTTGTTTTAGTTTTTAGAAAAGTTACCTTCTTGAAATTCTAATGATTTCCATTCCAATGCTTTAGGACAAACCATAAAAAACTTAATACACACTGTTTATCATTGGCAGAGAATTTCATTGACTTCATAAATTGGAGTGATACAAATACTTGCTTTCAAAGCCTTAAAGAAAAGCTCTGATGTACAGAAGAGTGACCAATACATAAATCGAGCGCTATAGAAATATCAAAACAGAACCTGAAACATGTTGTTACTCAGAGTTTCACGCTGTCACCTTTTAGGTTAAAATTTTGAAGCAGTTTGTAAACTGATTTTGAAAGAGCTTATCTTTAAGACTTGTAAAATCTTGAATTAATGAAATAATGGTATAAAAGCTATTGGGCTTACCTGTCTTATGGCTGGTTCTGATGTTTTAGCCACAGATCCAATCTTTTCATTACAAACTGGCACATTTCTCCAGGTGATAACCTATGATAATAACAATTAATTTTGTTGGTACAAAAATAAAAAACAAAACCTTATGGAGCTCATGCAGCAAACCCTTTGGTTCGATTGGTTCTTTTCATCATCATTTAAACAACACCCCTCAATAAACAACATCAATAAACAGACCGATCCAAATAGCTTTATATGAGAGATTCACCCAATCACAACTTTTTTTCATACAAGCAGGGTTGCCATATTTGCAAAACAAGCCAAAAAAAACTATGAAGATGTGTGTTGATTGGTTCTTTAGGAAATCACAACCCTGTACGAGGCTTTCCTGCTATATGCAATCTCAATCAAATCTATCTGAAGGTTGTAAATAAAAGCTAGTCTTACCTCTACACCAACTTTCTTCCCAAAATCAGTAAAAAGTTGTTGAGCCTTCTCAAGATCTTCAGGATTGGTAAAAATAATACCAGTAGCATACAGACCCGGATCAGGTAGTTCTACTCCTTCACTCCTTAAAGTCAAAAGAAAACAATCTTAAGGTGCTTCTAGACATATATGTTGTCTGTGAAATCGATGCTAAATGTGGCCATAAAATGGTGAAAATTCTCAAAAACTACCGACCCAAAAATTCGTCAGAGTAACTCCCATAAAAAGTCACACGATATTTTATGTTTGGACCTAACTGTGCCAATATCCCATGTCTATGACATCTGATGAATCGGATTTCAGATTTCTCAGGCTAGTCTACAATATAATAGCGCTATTGGACTTACAACAGGGGTCAAAATTTGGGCTATTGAGGATAGAATTATTAATGTCGCTACAAGACTTACTTCATCTTGTTTTTATACATCTTATGAGGTATAGCAGTCAGTACACCAGCTCCATCACCACTGTTATTATCACAACCACATGCTCCACGATGTTCCATGCGTATCAACATTGTCTGAGCATCTCTTAATACCTGTAGAATAAGATGGACATATACATATTTTATTGTAATATTTTTGTATACATAGAGAGACAACATCATTCCAAACTAATATTGTCTTATTTCATGAATTGGCTACTATGTTGACAAAATCTCTTTTGAATACAATGTTGCGAAAAAAAATCTCTTTTGGACACAATGTTGTGAAAACGACACCTCTTTTGGACACAATGTTGCCAAAACAAAACCTCTTTTGGATACAATGTTGTTACAAAAACTCTTTTGGATACAATGTTGTTACAAAACCTCTTTCAGATACAATGTTATTCCAAAACCTTGTTTTAGATGGAATGTTGCCAAAACAAAACCTTTCCTGGATACAATGTTGTGAAAACAAAACCTCTTTTGGATACAATGATGTGAAAACAAAAATTCTTTTGGACACAATGTTGTTACAAAACCTCTTTTGGATACAATGTTGTTACAAAACCTCTTTCAAATGCAATGTTGTTACAAAACCTCTTTTAGATGCAATGTTGTCAAAACAAAGCCTCTTTTGGAAAAAATGTTGTGAAAAACAAAACCTCTTTAGGATACAATATTGTATAAACAAAATCTCTTTTGGATACAATTTTGTATAAACAAAACCTCTTTTGGATGCAATGTTGTGAAAGCAAAACCTCTTTTGGATACAATGTTGTTACAAAACCTCTTTTGGGTACAATGTTGTCACTAAACCTCTTTTGGATACATTGTTGTTTTAAACCCTTTAATGGATACATGAAAACAAAACAATGTGAAAATACATGCAAATTCAAATTGTAAGGAAAAAATGATGAATACTCTGTAACTATTTTCTCTTTAGTATGAAATGTCAGTGATTACGTCACTGGTCACAATGCCATAACATTTGTTATGAAGAACTGAAGTCAGACAATACATTGTAACACAGATAGCTGTAGAACTGGAATTTATTGATCATTAAGTTGCTTGCATGTATGAAATGATATAGAAGTGCCAACAACTGACTAGTTTTAACCAGTTTATGTGTTTGGTCGAACATCCATTATAAAGATTTGCAGCACTTTATTAAAACTTTGTTACTGCACTTCAGTATTGTTTCTGCAAATTTCACCGTGAAAGATGATGTAACTAGTAATCAATTGATCCAAGATTAATAGTTAAACCTTAAGATTCCATAGTACATTTCTTTCTTATTATACAGCAATCAAATGTCAAGTTTTACTTCTGATAAGAGATACAGATAGCCAAAATTGAGTGCTACAAACTGGTAAAGCAAATAATTTCAAAATTTCTTAAAACAAGTGATCAATGTATATTTTCTGCCAAATACAAGTTATTTTTTTTCGACTAAAAATATTTCTGATTGCAAGATTACTTATTTATGTCAGCCGAAAAAGGTGAGAAAAAAAATCCTTTTTTAGTTCATTTACTTCTCCCTTAGCTCTGTAGGTATGTAATATAAAGGACAATCATTTGTAACAGACGACATTCCAATATCATGCCTGTTTCTTATCTCTGGATCATAAAACTCTCCTAACAAATTTAGAAATAGGAAAGTTCTTAATTTCTATTTACACCCTCCTCATGTCAAGCTCTGAGATGAAAGTTTGCTGATATGTTCAAGATATGTATTGATTTTCTTATCTCTACTTTTAGAGAGTCAATCTCAAGAAGCTAGCCATGCAACAATGAGTATCATTTGCTTTAATCACTTTGATATCTTATAAAAATTGAAAGGTAATCTTGAAATGAAATCACTTCAATAGCAGCATCGATTTCCGGGACTAATAAAAGTTTAAAAAATGTAAAGGGAAGAAACACCCAATGTCAATGAATGAGTGTGGCTCGTTGCTTCATAGCAATGATTTAACTCAACTTCAACTGTGGAAATCTTCTGCTTCCAACAGGGGATGGTTCACAGACTATTTCTATAATTATCCATTGATGGATGCAGTTACTGGATACAAAATGTTAGTGTTGAAAATATGGCTTGATTACTTCTGACACAAACACTTTTTACACAAACAATATGATTATGGCGGCAAAAATTAATAATGGCGTTGTTGACTGAACAAAAAGGTGGGAATCTTCTCACTGCTTGTGCATACGTTTGATTGGCCAAAACAAAATATGCCTTATTACCATGGGTCTCAAACAATTCAGTTTATTCTTGGGTAAAGAGACAATTTTTTAAAGGGATTATAAAGAGATTTTCTACTTTTTATATGTGTATCGGGGACACTGATAGCATCGATTTGCACCATTCCAATTTACATTTAAATGTCTGAGATTCTGGCAATTCCAATAAAACTAAGGATTTGATGAGGTTAATAATCACTAATGACCTTCTATGATAAAGTATATTTTGCAATTAGTGACGTCATCAAACAGTTACTTTTGAAGGAATTGCAAGAGCCCCTGATGTTTGATTGAAAATTGGAATGGTGCAAATTGACAATTTCAGTGTACCTAGGCCCCGAAGTCGTCACAATCAGTCGAAATCGGCAGTCTTCTTTTATTCACCAGTCGTCGTTGAGTTTTGTTCAACTTGTTGAAAACTCTAATGCAAGTAATTGTATATTAAAACATGGTGCTCACTACTTCAAAATTTTGTTGAGCATAGCTTTCTTGAAAGTTAAATTTAAGGGTCCTCAAGAGTAGGTGTCCTTTACTGATTTTGAATCAACAATAAGCTTTTATGTGCATGGAATATGCAGTATTAAACTTTTAGTGCCATTTTGCATCATAAATTAAATGCATATCCCTTTATTGAACAGATAGCTGAATACATTCAAGTATGTTCAACATAATAAATGTAAAAGTTTATAGATAACCGCTTTACAATCTCTTGAAGTTGTACAAGCATTATAGCAAACAATAATTTCCTCAATACATTGGCTGAATCCCCTTATAGAGTGAATATCTTCACAGCCTAGACATCTTGATGGTTTCTAATTAAATATCATTCATTCAACCCACTGGCTTATCTTATATTTAAATTCAATAAAAAGTGACATTTACCACAGTAATTTACTTGAATATTGTCAGAATTCGGGAGAAATTCCTGGAGTTGAGACAGAATTAGAAATATCTCTTGACAGTTTATTTGCATTAATAAATTTGAAGAATTCCAAAGTAATTCCAGGAGATGAGACAAAATTAGAAATATCTCTGACAGCTAATTTGCATAAATGAAACTCCAAGACTTTATTTGTAGAATTTTTTTAAAGAGTGTGTATCACTAAAGCCATATTTTGCCTGATTCTGTAAGCATGAAAAAGATTCGTAACTTTTTTTATCCTCTAGAATTCTTTATACATGATCTTTAGAATTCTTTAGAAATTCCATAAGATGAAAGAAAATTAGAATTGTTTTTGCATGGTGGCAAATATTATGACCATTTGGGTCAATATTAGAACACGATTTAAAGTAAAATTTTGTCAGATCATGGATACATAATGTATTAACCTTCAGAAAAAAAAATTCAGATCTGCATCTCAATAAAAATGACTTTCTTGTGTTGAATTGCAAGAGAACTAAGATTTTAATTCAGAAATTGGATTCGATCAGTTAGTAAAAGAAATATCGTGAGGAGAATACACCTTTAAGGAAATGTTCAATAAAAAGTAATTGTGAGTCTCAGTTACTATCTGAGCTATATTTAGACAGATTATGTTAGCTTAGGGTGACACAAAGGCCAAGTATAAAAATCAATGACTCTCAAAGAGAGAATTAATGTCAAAGCTGGTAAATTCATTTACTTTATCAACATTACAGATCAATAGAATGTCTAAAATATATCCCATAAGATTGCCAGACCAAAAATAATCATATTAATTGAAATTGCTTTCAATCGGTTTTGGTTTCCTGAAGAGCAAAATGTCTTCCTTACATCATAGCTGATAACAAAGGAAAAATGTCAGCCAATAGTTTTAGAAAATAATGTCCTGGTATTTGGTGTGGATATGTATCAGACTATATTGAACCCTTGATACAACATTCTAATGTTGATAAAATTATGGCCAAACAAAGCTCATATCATTTTCGAGCCAAGGAGAATTCCAAATATTGAGGGTAAAATTAGAGCTGATCTGCAAACATCTTGGCAACAATCACATGTTTTGACAACTGCATACTCTATAAGAACTACCAGACAGTCGTGTAGGGGGTGGGCCATAGGGCCAGAGGGTCAGCCCCCACCCTCCCCCCCTTCTTTCAAGCCTGTGAAATGTCACTTTTGAAGTGAAAACTAAGCTATCTCGATCTCAGGCCATCTGGAATCTGTTGGCTACTGCACAGACCTGAGACCCCCAGCATCAAGTGGATTTGCTCCTGCTGCCTCTGAGAGACACTCTTTGCCCCCTCATCCCCCTTCCTTCCCTCTCAGGCATTTTCTAGATAAGCCAATGCTATTAGCATTGACACCATTTAAGTCAATATTAGCATTTAATTCTGTGTATTTTGACCGAATAAGACCAAAACACACTAAAATTTGCAATAATTGTCTTTAAGATAAACATAGTTAGCTTATATTGTATATACATGTATTGTGCATGTGTTATATAAAAATGTTGTATATGATATATATCACAGTTATGTCAACGTTCAGTAAGTTTGTACAAAACACTCCTTAATGTTTCAAGCAGTCTGGATAATGTATTTTGCAATCCATTAGCGTTTGACGTTTGTTAGCATTTAAGAAAATCCTAATAAAAAAAAAGTGTGTAATGTGGAAAGGAAAAACTCTGCGTGAGCTTATTTTGATGTGTATTGATTTTCGAGTTAACAATAGAAATGGTAGGCGTAATGAAATTAAACACTCTAAATAATGGATAGACATGAAAAATACTTGATTTCTTCTATGTTCTTCACTTGGATCTCTTGTAAGTGAATTTATACCTACAGACATAAGAGCCAAGAACATCTACTACAAAAAACTCTGATCTATTGTGTGATTTGTGTCACAGACAGGGACTTTAAAAATGAATGTCTAGCAGCTGAAATTTCACTGCTTCTCAAATAGAATTGATTGATCACAAGAAGTGCTTAATATCAAATTATGGAAATTAGCAGATACTAATACGCCAAAATTTCATTTATAAACTGGTAAAGAATAATATAATTGTTAATATTATCAAATTACTTGTTTCATGAAAATATTGCAGTGGTTTTTAAACTTTCTCATATCTCCAGGTTTGCCATTTTCAGGGGTTAATTTTGGTCTTGAATATATGTAAATAATCTTCAAAATTACTTAAGATACTTCCAAAAAACCTCAAACTAGGAATTTCACTTTTAATAATATGGCACAGTCTCAAGAAATGACGGAGATGGAGAATTCTGGACACACTGGGATTTGAAGGCTCAAATTTCAACCATGAGCTGTGAACAATATTGATGACTAGCTTATATAGCTAAAAAAAATTCTGATTCTGAGACTGGTCAAACAGATAAACAACTTATCCCACGTGACAGCTTTCGATATTAAAAATTCATTATTCTTACCCTATGTGATGGAATTCCGTCAATATTGACCACATATCCTACCCCACAGGCATCACTTTCATATGTAGGGTCATACAGACCCACCGGTCCTGGCTGTCCATAACACTTTCCTGGTACACAGGGCATCTTGTATTCTTATTGTAACTTCTGAAATGGATCAAATTGAAATAATAAGAGTTATTGTGCCTGATAGTTGAAATATAATTTTGTGATCTCCCAATGAACAAAAATCTATAAGTTTTGTTTACATCATGATATTTGCATGTTGAAGAAAGTAAACAACACCATTACTAGAAATAAATTCAAATCAATCTAAAGTAATGTTTACCAGATAACAAGGACTGAGAACATTTTTAAGGTCACTGAACATTTGTGATTGCAATCTTTTGAGTAATTTGGGGTTCAAAACCAACGAATATAGCAAATTTCTGAATGTTTTATACAACATCATTAAACTTTTTACAAAAGTATTTACTTAGATGTTTAAATTAAAAATAGTACAAATTCATCTTTCATGAAAAATGCTGATTTTTGGGAAGAAACACAGACACTGAAGTTTGCAATATCACCCTGCTTCAAATCAGGATGTCAGCAAACTTCATGGTCAGTTTGAGTTGGGAAGATTTAGGCTTGAGAAACATGGAAAATATTTATATCAGAGAGTGCATGCCTCATTAATTTTACTGAATTACAGAAATTTTCATTGAAATCACACATGCATTCCATACAGACCAATACATATTTGAACAAGAAATCAATAAACTACAGAATTGATCTAACATGTTCTTTTAAATAACAGCCGTAGTTTAGTGCATCTTCCAATATCCTATATGTTAACACTATCATTACTATTTTTTGTTCAATATCTGTGGTTCCTCAATTTTCAGAAAACATGACAAGAATGGGGCAAAAACTACTCCAGCCAAATGTATCAAGTATCTCTTGAATAACAAGACATGGCTTTGGAAATTTTAAATGGATAGATCTGGATTGAATTGGATTTGCAAAAGTGACATCATAATCTGGTCAAGCTTTCTATCTATGACAATCATTTCTTTAATAATTGTATCAGCTATTTCAGCTAAGAATTTCTCAGCTATGTCTTCAGACATGAACTAAAGTCTAAAACACCAGTCGACCAACCTGTGAATCTACATAATATATAAATGTATACATATAAACAAGTATAATTTATTAGTTAACTGGTATAAGAACTATTTGACCTACTGACTGACTGGTTACCCTTAGTTACCAGTCAATGAAGACTGTATAGTAATCATAAGTCTGAGAATGTTCCTGTAATCTGAGACCTAATGATTACATCTCTACATAAGTAGAGAACAATGTACTCTGATTGCTTCCTTAGTACAAGATGAAACCATGAATCTTTAAAAATATAATCTAACAAATTTAAATGCTAGATAGCTTTTCTAATATAGCATCTTTCATTTACCTGTGGCAGTGTTATAAACATTTCACACTTTCAGTGCGAATTTTTTCTCCCAGTGGTTAGAAATCAAAACAATTTTTCATATCAGGTAAGCTTGATAAATTACAAAGGTGCACTGAATCTGTTAACATATGTGCACGCAGTATTCTAGTTTAGATTTCATCATCACAAAATTCTTTGTTATATAAGAAAACCTGTACCTTCTAACCTTGAACTGTTTTTATAATATATTTCCCAAAATATTCCAATAAATAAACAAAAATAGTTGCGAAGTCCAATCAGCAGATATTCCACAATTTTTCAAACTGAATGAGCTGACAAACAAGTAGAACCGGAGAGTATGTATCATCTAATCAAGTTCACCTTGATACTGACTATTTTCAGTTTTAAGTGTTTAGAGAGGACTTTCTATTCACATGGTTGCAATTACCAATAGAATTGTTTTGGTTACCTAGTTTGCTCTATTTAGAGAAAGAAATATGAGTATGAATGACTTTTGTCAGGTACTCTTTGAACCAATATAGTTTTCTAATTTCTGCTTTGGGCTATCTGTTTGCCATTTTGAATAAAAATCTGATGTCTGGTTCAATAAATGTGCAGAAGGGAGTGATGTTTCAATTTGAGATAAGCTAGCATCCCCCAATGCAGATATTAACCTACTTCTGTTTTTATTGAGCATTATGATGACAGGCAGCTCCAAGAAAGAATGTTAGCAAGACATGGGCCTTAGTATATTGTCCCATCGAAGTTCATGGAACACTGACAGAGGGGACACTGGTGGGAATTTGAAGGTGTTATACCTTGATCAATCTCGAATTGCCAGTCTAGTGAACAGATGTCTGACTTGCTAAGCAACCCATACTACATCTTCACAATGTCAAGCTAATGAATAGCATCTTATACCTTGACTGCAATATGCGCTATTCTTGTATCATGAAAGTAGGTAAAAGCAGCGATTTGAATACTACATCTTCACAATGTCAAGTTAATGAACAGTGTCTTATACCTTGACTGCAATATTCGCTATTCTTTTATCATGAAAGTTGGTAAAAGCAGCGATTTGATTAGATTGTACACTATCGAATACAGTCAATCAGAGCTCACAACGGCTCACATACAGCTGTATTCTGTGAAACAATAATAGTGGCTACTGCTATCAGGGAATAAGACGAAGGTCATAATAGCCTGACATTGTGAAGATGCCCATACTAGTTTACTGTTCATTCTTCATACTTCACTTTTTACACTTTTTTAGCTTCATATGCAGTAAAAATCTTTGTTAGCATATCTATAATGTAATCAAAATGTTACTTAACAATAAAAATTTATTTTGAACCCATTATATTCTTGATTCTATTATTCAAAACTATTAGAGTGGAAAAAGATATAATAACAGTTTGATCACCGAGGTTAGCTTACTGAATTTCATTATATTGATACTGGTAGCTTATACTATTTACAGGGTGTTGATATTAAGTATTGAGCATTGTCTTTTATTATGTTAAAGTATAGTTATACCACTGAGCTACCAATTTTGATTTCAGCCTCAACATTTGCCTCCTATTGAGTCAGTCTGCCCCCTATTTGTACCACTGTCTCCTTACAGTACCATTCAAATTTGAGAATTAAGCTTGCATATTTATGATATGGTACCGAAGACTTTTGGAATTCAGCTTCTTAAACACATGTATATATGTTTCTGGTACATGACTAATTACATCCATTAACCGAGTGTCAAGGTTTAATTTTGCCAAAGTGATATGAATAACCAGAATTGAACTCTGTCCATCAGGTTCCATGGTAAAGCAAATATTTATCTTTTTACTTCCCTTTGACCATAAGTTACATTAATATGTAAACTTTTTGATGATATTTCTCCCAGTTATAGACAAGCAACCGTAACCACAGGTAACAATTATCAGTAGATAAAACAAATATTAACATATTGCCTCCTTAAGAATTATCATCATAACAGTCTGTACCAGGAGCTTATACCAGATAAAGCATTAATATAACAGAGAGATTACAGAAATTGTTTAAATACCATCTGGAACCATGACCTGGTCTAACCTAAATTTAGGACTAAATTAATTGGAATAACAAGCCAGCTGTTGTATATGAAAAAATAATACAATATGTTGCTAACAATTTTACATGCTAATTAAAACGTATAAGGTATGCTTGGAAGTACACAAACAGCGAAGTTTAAGGGACAGGCATGCCATTTTGGGGGGTTGATTTTAGTCTTGAATAAATGGAAATAGTCTTCAGAAGTAATAGTAAGTAATGTACGAAAATCTCATGTTTCCTTTAAAAATACTTCAAACTAGGAATTTTACTCACTATTTCTATATATGTTTTTCTATATATCACAGAGTATCTTAAAATGAGTCATCATTTTAACAATAATGCAGCTAATTCTGGACACACATGAATTTGAAGGCTCAAATTTAGACGGTGAGCTGTGAACACTGTTACTGATTAGCTTAGCTAAAAAATTCCAGTTCCTGAGACTTAAGTATGAAAACAATGGCCTATGTGTCCCTTTAAAATTTCACAAGCATAGGTGCATATTTTTATCAGTGAATAGTGTCTTGTAGATCAAATAGACAATACACTACTACAAGCTGTGCATGTTAAAGTCATTTGCTTGGTTACGTCAAACAAATGGCAATTGTTGGTTCTAATCTCGGTTAGCATGTGAGTCCAATGATCTTGAATAAGTCATCTTCACTCCTAATTCCAGTCAACCTTATATAAAATGGGTATGTATGGTTGTAGTCTTGAACTATCAGTACTATTTTGAATGGAAATCTGTTATTTCAAAAAGAACACCATCATCTAGGAAAACAAAAATTTCAAGACAAGACCCAAATCCTCTTAAACCAATTGTGTCACAGCTTTGACAGGTGAATGCTTACTGATCCAAGCTAAGACTAAGACAGTCTTTGTGTAGTCTATATAGTGTACAGAGGTACCTTTTCTTATTCCATTAAGAGAAAGAAGGTAGTCTTGTGATTTAGGATAGGCACAGCAGTAGGCCTACAAGACTTGTACAACTATTATATAAGAAAATTGGGCAATGTGTTAAACTTTTGCAATTGAATATGTACGACCTTGAAAAAATAATCACCTCTTTGTATCATAAACAGTTTAACAAATTCCACAAGTCTGTAGGATCATGTCAGACCATTTGATTACATTTATATTTATAAACTGCATTATAACTTGTACATATTACAATGCTTTTAAAAATAAATTAAAACAGAATGAAAAATTTAAGCCCCATAGCCTTATATGACTGAGTATAATGTTTGATAATATTAGACAAAGACATTCATTCACATTCAACCAAGTTTCATTCATCATTTTCATCTTCCTGAATTCTGAGTGTGGAATTGAATATGCACTTTACTGACATGCACTTTCTATTATGTATATCGTCAGTATAACTTTAATTCCGGTGCTTTCATAATACATGAAACTTATCAACCTTTATCAGTAGAACAAATTACAGTGTCAGCTGCATAATCTACAGTGCCATAGAATATCATGCCTTATTTCTGCATCCTGTCAATATCAATTATCATATATAAACAATGCTAGGATAGGCGTAATTATTAATAGACATAACGGTACTATACCTTTCTAAGCCGCACAATGTTGAAATATAAAACCCAGACACAAAATAATTTCACCAAGACTAGGGATGGGTGATTTGACAGTGCAAAAACCTTGAACTGTGTAAATTTCCCCAATTCTCTATTAAATATATCCGTTATTCTTACATAAAATAAATAACAGTAGGCCTAGTAGGAAAACAATCCCGTGTACAGGTTTACTATCATGTGAATAACGCGTGCTACAAATAGATTATTCCTTATTTCCATTGGCCAATATGGAATAGTCCACTTTTTCTACCGGGGGAATTCCCCGTTTGTAAAAGTAGTCAACAACAATGGCGTCCTTAGTAGTCAATTGATATTGATATCATACCCATTAACTGTACACATAATTCTATGATACATGCCGTTCTTTTTTTAGTGCGATAGAATAAACGGTCCGTTGTAGAAAAATGTGACCCGTTTCACGTTTAGACTTTAAAGGTTTGATATTTTATCAAATACTTATGACATTATACTTGATATGATATTAATCACAGACGAACCTGACGTCCAATTTACATTCTGAAAAAGTAGCACAAATAGCAGCCGCTAAAGTAAATATTTGGATGACTGTTTAATTCCTAACAAAGTCTTTTATTCTGTATGAATACTGAATATATATCAAAAGATAGGTAAGAGTTCAGCAAGTCCGAGAACCAGAAAAATATATATCAGAAGTTAGGTAAGGGTTCAGCAAGTCCGATAACCTGTAAGAATATACATCAGACGATAGGTAAGGGTTCAGCAAGTCCGATAACCCGTAAGAATATATATTAGAAGATAGGTAAGGGTTCAGCAAGTCCGATAACCTGTAAGAATATTCATCAAAAGATAGGTAGAAGGGTCGGCAGGTCTAATAACCCGTAAGAACATTCATCAAAAGATAGGTAGGGATGTCGGCGGGTCTAATAACCCGTAAGAATATTCATCAAAAGATAGGTAGGGATGTCGGCAGGTCTAATAACCCGTAAGAATATTCATCAAAAGATAGGTAGGGGGCTCGACAGGTCTAATAACCCGTAAGAATATTCATCAGAAGAAAGGTAAGGGTTCAGCAAGTCTAATAACCCGTAAGAATTTTCATCAAAAGATAGGTAAAGGTTCAGCGATAACTGTAAAATATATATCAGAAGATGGGTAAGATAGGTAAGGGTTCAGCAAGTCCGATAACCAGTAAAATATAGAAGATAGGTAAGGGTTCAGCATGTCCGATAACTTTGAAAATATATACCAGAATAAGTCGGATTATCTGTACATGTATATCACAGATGGACAAAGATTCAGAAAAGTCGGATAAGCAAGAATATAATTATGACAATATTTAAAATTTAAATCAGAATAAGAATTTTAGGTTGTAAAATAATTGTGGTTAAGTAATGTTAGGAAAGCACAGGTAAAAGTTCAGCAAGGTTTGGACTCAAAAGCAGGTAATAAGTAGAGTACTCTTCTAAAGGTATTCATGGACGTAGGTCATAAGATCATAGTAACTGGGTTAACTCATGTTTTGTTATTCTGTTATAGCCTACGTACGTTGACCGGTCAGTCAGGCATAATATTATAGTATAGGTCTAATGGAATTCCTCATTTAAGAAATACTACATTTTTTAACCGATCTAAACAGCATACCTCTGACCTATGCCCATCCTTTTATGAGTTATATTCTTATTTCACTTTAACACTGGGCCAAAAGTGAGAAGTTGTTGAAATCAGTTATCAAAACGAAGGAAGCTTGCAGAAAATATAAGAAAATCCAGCCAAAAAATGTCGCAGAGATTTTTGTTAATATATCATGCAAAGGGATTGTAATGAAAAAAAAATATGTGTATCGGAGCCACTGTTAGCATCAAATTACACCATTCAAATATTCAACGTCTATGGTTCCTTCAATTCCACTAAAACCAAGTGTTTGATGACGTCACTAATAGTAAAATAATATTCTTTATTACACAAGGACCTCACTAATCGTAAAGTAATACGCTTTATCACATAAGGCCCTTGCCGATCACACACTTAGTTTAAGTCTAGTGGAGTTGAATGTACCACAGACGTCTGATTGAACATTGGAATTGTGCAAAATGATGCTATCAGTGTCCCCGCTATATACATAAAAACCTAGAAAACCCCTTTACAATCCCGTAATAATACATGCTTATTACAAAACGTTATATGACAATTTAAACTAGCTATACCACTGCTAAGCGCCGCCCACTCGCTTTTACTCATGTTATGAGATGATTTTTCTTGATGGCCATCGCTTGGAGTGTCTAACAGAAAGTTTCAGGAAGAAAGAAACTTAATCAAGAAGTTGGAGAACAAAAATATTTGCGATAGGGCGCATGCTTAATTTTAATCTTGCATGGATTTGCACAATATCGCCAATATTTAAAATCGCAGTTACGAAAGTCAGAAATTTTTAAATATGTAGGTCATTATTTGGGGCACATACTTATAATAAATGTGTCTTTCATTTAAATGTGTCATCCGTCTATTTAATAGGAATTCATTTCACGCTTTACGATATTCATATCCATTCATAAGCAAAGTTAACCCTTATTGTCCTTAGGTTGAATCAGCTACCCCAGTCATGCAATGTGGAAAATTTCTAGAAAATGGACTATTCCATTACTGAATGAAACATGTTGAAAACGCGTGGACATCGACCAATCAGAAATCAAGTAGTTTGTTGGCGTGATATTTGATTGGTAGAAAAATTCCCCGACGGTATGTACATGCCCTTATAAAGCACGAGTTGTATACAACGGTAGTTAGAAATACGATAAAATTCACGCTAATAATACACGATTTTCAATATCAAAATTGTTTAATTTATTCAATAGCTAATTTTGATTCCGATAAGAGAGTCGATCAGAGAGAGAGAGAATAACTTCAAGTTTAGAAATCGATTCCAGAGTACGAGGAGCGACAGACACTGAAATACCAGACCAGTGTAATATACTACCAAGACCATCCTTCAAGAACTCTTCTACATACATTCCACGATATTCAACCATCAATCTACATTAGTTTCCATTTATTTGGAAACCCAACAGACGACGAAACGTTTTCCAACTACAGACAGGGAATCTTCCAAAACTACAGCACGATGAATATGAATTCTAACATGTCTACAGTCATTGAAGATCAAGGTTTTCAGTCAGAAGACATTTTACGTAGACGTCTGGCACCTTACGTTACCTTTGGACTGCAAGATCTTCAAACTTTAATGCGACTTGATGGAAACACTCCGAACTCGAATCTTACCAACCAACTAAATTTGAAAGAGGTTGTTGAAAATATTTTCAAGCCAAAGATATCCACAGAAAAAACTACAGACGTGGTTGTGAATGGAGCCGAACACAACGACGTCCCAATAGAATACACTATTAGAGGGTTAAAGTCCCATGAGCTTCCAGTCAAAGGTAAGACCGCTTTAATTATTTAGTATCTTAGTGGCCAAAGGCGTCCTTTTGTAAGGGGAACGTTACATTTCTAATTTATATGTATGATATGCGAGTCGCTAGATCTTGTGCCTCAAAAAATTTTGATAGTTGTATTCATTGCTTCGTTTTTAGGACCTAATTCGCCTTTGCTTTTTAAGGACAACTTTGAAAAAATAGACTAGGAATTGAATCTCATTAGCCCACGTTGTCAATAATGACGTGTACATGTTGTATTTCTCACGAAGCTATATCGATTTTTCCCAGTTGTCGTCTGAAGAACAAACTGACATAATCAATACTTCCAAATGATTTACAAATGACGAGGCGGATGCTATTCTTGTTCAATTAACGAAGGCATGACAGTAGGATTTCAACTCTTTCCCACTGTATCCAGTATATGCCCGGTTTGTTGGTTCGCAGAACTAACCTACCGCAGCACATAAAATTTTCAAATGCAATACTAGTCTTTGCGTAATGATCTTGATTCATCAAAGGTGTACCGAAGTTGTTATTTAACTGCTTTATCAAAGGTTAGGTGCCATCTGCTCGTGCACCTTTGTGAATCAAAATGTGGTGTGAATTCTGGTTCCGACCCTGCCCCAGCACGAGAGAATAGAAATATAGGCTAATATACACGTGTGTTTAATAACAAGTAACCTTATCTGACGTGTTGAGTTTATATACCATTTACTACTGACCATTTACTACACTGACCATTGTACTGACCATTATACAATGATCGTTATTGAGTGTAGGGAAGATGTTTTGCCTTGTTCCCTTATTATTTAGAACTGGCTTTTTCCTTTGTACATTGGCTGACAAATTCATTTAACGGTATTGTTTTCATACCAAGGGTCATTTTATGGTCGCTTTACACTCTTTCATTAGCCTACAAATTCTACTCAATAATGTAACCAATAAAAGCCATTATAATTATGAGCAGGGCAAAACATCACCGCACTTAAAATTTCACCGTAGGGCTGCGTATTATTGCTAGGATTTTGAAATGTTTTTTTCTTTAACATGAACACACTTTCCAGATGTGTTCTGATAATAGAGGCGAAACTCGTAACTAATCTACTAATCAATAAGATTATCCAGAGAAGTTGTGAAGTTCCAAGTTCTATTGCTAGCTCTAACTAGAGTCTGGCTGTAGAAAGGTAACACTGAATTACAAACACATTCCTTTTATCCATATATCCTTCTGTAGATACGTCTAGTAGTACAGCAGTAGAATATGAATTTTGATGTGAACAAAAAAAAACATTTGAAGAATCACAAGAAATCCGATAACAGTTGATCAAAAGAACAAAATAGTGAATCATTCCTGGTTTGCAATCAGAAAAATAAACCCGAACCAAACCCTTTATTCAAATATACTTCCTCCGCTATCTGCATTTGTGACGTCACTAATCCCTACCTGGCATGATAAACGTGTAATATTATAAGATATAAAAACAATTTTCAAAATGCCTTTTCTTAAAATCTGTGTATTTTTGCAGGTGTGTACGTACATGGTCAGATAGCCCCTGGTTTCCCCTACAAAGTCAGATACAATGGTTCTGAGAAGTATATGTTTGGTGGAGAAGCAAGGTGCCTTCAATCAATTGGTATGGGATATGGTAAACGGCTGACATTCACTGGTGATACTCTCAACGATAAAGACTGCTACTTCTGGTCGGACAGCCACCCGGAAGGTTTTGCCTTCAATATCGCAGCAGTAAAGCAGAATGAAAAATTCATTATTCTCAACAGTCTTATGGAACCAATCGGAGAAGCTGTTGTCAATTACGTCAACGAAGACCAACACGAGGAGTCGTCCGAAGTCGTAAATGGCGTCGTCACCAAGAAAGTACGGGTCACTTTACAATGCAGCGTGAACTTTTCTCAAAAACGATATCATGGGCTCGTTGATCTCCATCAAACAAACTTTGAAACCATTAATGGTACTGCCCTCCTAACGAAACAAAAACGAGAACGAAAAGCGAAACTTGACCTAATTGAAAATGTCTTTTTAGGCAATTTCGGGACTTGCTCACTGCACAAAAAATCTTAGATGCCACTTTCAAAATATGAATTTTTATAATTTTAAATCATGGGCTATGCTGAGCTATGCTGCCTTGAACTGCTTTGAACGAAGGGTCGAGTTATCTCGCCTTCTTATTGCAATGTGAGTGTGAAAATTGCTATCGCATTTATAAAATTGTCTTGTGACAAGTAAAATTTCTTTGAAGTCTATAATGAAGACGTGATTACGGGTATGAGTATCATGTAAACAAGGAAACTACTTTGTTCATTCCACCAAACTGGTAAAGACATGACCAAATTGATTTTCTTATGAGAAGTACAACTATAGTCCTCAGTTCTTTTGCTATTTTATCTTTATTTTGAATATTTATTTTCACTTTGTTTACAAGTGGAGCGAACTATATCAATGTTTGTTTTAATAAAGTTATTTTTGAAAATGATAGTTTCATAAGGCCCTACCTATGAAAATGATATACTATTATCGTTTCATTCCCCACTTAGATTGGGCTGACCGTGTAGCTTTTAAGAATGAAAATTCGACTTCTGGTTGATCTGCAATTTAGCAAGTGGGTGTGACTACAGTCTCGGAACGTTATGAACAACGTCTTCCAAGAACGAATATCATTATTATCGGTGCTTTTGTCAACGATTCTTACTTGCAGGAAAAGTAGGCCCATATTCTGATTAGCCAATTTAGACCCCTTTGTGATGCAATGATTGAAGACTGATCCAGTTCTGACATGGGAGGGGGAGGGGGTAGACTGGCATTCAGATCTATATACTCCCTCTGATGATGATGTACATGTTTTAAGGGCTGGCATGAAAATAAAAACCTCCACGTCGTTCGGTAGAAAAGGACGACGCCGCATGAATGGTGTCGGGGGTGTGGCTAACTGGTGCAAAAATGAAAATATTATGCCATCGAGTTATATAGAAACAATGCATTATGTCATTATATGATTGTTAGACGGTTGTGCTAAATACATAAATCACCTAAATTAATTTCTCTCTAAAAATACAAAATGCCTAGGCATAGAATTTATTACCATCAGGAGGGACAAAAGGCCAATAAACTTGTCGTCAGAAAGTGCTAAATTAGATAAGCTTGTTTTGAAAACGGAATGGGTGTGCTAATTCCTAACATTATTACATTATATTGTTATTATAATAGCTTGTGTACAATAAGGCCTACAGTTGGTTATAATTTAGATAAAAAAGTATTCGGTTTAAGATCCTTTCACTCATAAGCGGTAAAACAAATTAACTGTTGCCTAAATTAACTAACAATCGATTACGTCCCTTGAAAAGGAGCTCTCGTTTCAATAAAGATAGTTATGGTCTTAAACTCTCTATTTTGAAGGAGGAAAAGGCCCTCCATATCGTAAAAGACTCGTTTGTTTTTTTACTTTGTTTGTCTAAATATTGTTGGTTAAAAGTGTAAATCAAAAAGTAGGTAAGTCTGATATGTAGGGGACAAAAACAAAACCGTAGCATGAAAATCATGATTGGGTTTCGTTTGGCTGTCTTGTAGGCCTACTAAGAAGAGTTGAAGAGTATTTGAAAAGAGAAGGGGGGTGGGGGTGTGTGAACATTTTTAATGCATTTGTTACGTTAGACTTGGATCTCAATCGGCATCTACATTTCTACCAGTTTCAGGTCTTTTTCAGGACATTAAGGTTTCTTGATTGAATTTTAGATGTCAATACGGACAAATAATCATATATTCAAAGTAAATTTTACTTAGTTAGATTCTAAGCCCTAATTGAAGAATTAGTAAAAATTGGAATGATTAAATTAACCAATATGATAGAGGTTTGGTATTCTTGAAACTATCTTAGCGCTAGGACATCCCAGAGTATTATCTTCTGACACTGTTTTTAGAACGTCCTAGAATATGTTCGAGAATATGGTTTCTGCTCCCCCATTCCATCTAAAGCTTTGGAGCTATTGATTTCTTAGCATTGATTGATCGCAATTCATGTCGTACATCCCAGTAACATCATTGATGTTCCTAGTTGTCAATGCTAAATAAACCATGCCTCGCCAAATTCCAGGGTCAGCATTTTGACAGAGATTTAGGTCCTACCTGTTGTTAGTGTAGCAATAAGCGAAAACAACAGAGTACCAGTTTAGGCCAATATAAGTTTTATCAGACTCATATTCATTTTGTTTACATATGTTGAGGTAGCCTAATAAATGTTCTACATTAGGCTAGTCAAAGGCAAACATAATGTCATACTTTGTTTTTATTTCTATGCTATTTTTTAGGTGAAGGAAGCAGGACATAATACTTAAAGATGTCTCTAGCAGATGAATTGTTGGCTGATTTAGAGGAAGGGGGGCCTGATTACAATGAAGAAGATGATATTATCCCTGAAGTGGAAGACATTCAGGAGGTTGCCATGGAAACAGAAAAGCCAGCCTATGATGTCCACAGCATTGCTAAACTACAGAGTAGTCAAGAGGTAATGTGGACTCTCAGCAAGCTGATAACTAGCACATTAATAAGAATATCATAGAAATGCATACAATATTATGCCAAGATAATTTTTCAACTCCTCTCAAATTTTATGAGAGTTTCCTTAATCCTTTTTAATAACAGCATTTCATTTTCATTACCTCATATGTTTTTTTCGGTCTTGCAGCTTAAGGATATTATAACTAATATTGAAAAGTATTCTAAAATGACAAGAAGTGAAGCAAGTAAGTGTTTATGATATCTATCTGATTGATATTTTGGACTTAAATGATTTGCATTCTATACTCATCTACATTCAACACATGCCTAAAAGCTATCCAATTAAGTAATACCATTTGGAAAAAATCATTAATTTATTTTTGGAATCAACATTGGACGTGCAGAAGTAACACTATCCATCTTTTAAGTTTAAATTTTTCTGTTATTTTACAGTTAGTGGTCCTGTAGAATCTGATCCAGAATATAAACTGATTGTTGATGCTAACAATATGACAGTTGAAATAGACAATGAAATTAGTAAGTATTGTTAATGAAACAAGATTTTTACGAAATAATTTTGCATTATGATTCAAATTCAGAGCAAACCTATGAAACTAAGGGTTTAACATAATTTTCATTTAAACTTAAAATTTTGAGTGTGGTTTTATTAATTTTCAGATGTAATACACAAATTTGTCAGAGATACCTATTCTAAAAGATTTCCAGAATTAGAGTCATTAGTACCTACAGCTTTAGAATATATTTCTACAGTTAAGGTAACTTATTGTTTTTTTTTTCAATTTTTCACAGGAACTGTGAATACTAATATAATCGTGTACTTAAATTAATGTAAAAAGTACCCTTTCAGCACTTGTAAGTTTGCAAGTTTTACAGCCTTTTTTTTCAAAATTACCATCTTATAAACAATGATTGGTGGGTTGTCATTTGACATCTCAAATCTGATTTGTCTGTTATCTGCTATTTATTGCTGAGCATTTATCAACCATCTTGCTTGATGAATATATCACAGTCTTGTTTCTGGTATTGTCCTCAACTCTCTTGGAAATGATAATGATAAATTATAGGAGCTGGGTAATAACATTATGGAGAAATCTAAGAATAATGAAGCATTACAAGAAATATTAACACCAGCTACTATTATGGTTGTCAGTGTTACAGCCTCTACTACACAAGGGTTAGTTCAACATTTCTATTTTATTTTGATAGCACTAATATATAATTGTAGTTCTGAAATAGAACTGAAAACTTTGACGTAAATGGATATACTAGAAAAACGAAAAAGTACTGAAAACTATGCAAATACCACAACATGAAATAAAGAACAACTAAATTGAATACACTACTAAAAAAAACTAAAACATCTGGATTAATTTGCTGTATGCAAACCATTTTATTCTGATTTGTATTAATATACACCATTGGTGTATTTGGTTGTATATTTATATGTGTATTTATGTATGTTTTATATATTTGTAGATCTAGATTGCCAGAGTCTGAATTAAAGACTATTATAGAAGCTTGTGATATGGTAAATAATTTTTGAGCACATTCTGTTCTGTAGCGAAATAGTTTCATTTCTGAGAGCTTGATATTTTGATAAAATTTGTATTGACATTTGAAAAAGTGATATTGAAATTTCTTACAATTAAAGATATATAATAAGGTTTGGTTGATAGTGATATTTAAATGTGAAATGAAATTTGAGAATGTGATATTTTAAATACAATTTGAAAAATAAAAGGAAGAGAATGTGATATTTTGATATAATGTGATATTTTGATTGGAGCAAATTTCTCAGGTTAATTTGTAAGAACTTGTGTTAATTAAAACATTTTTAAATGACTTTTCCAAATTCTGTGTTTATTTTTCAGGCAGTAGAGTTAACCCAATGTAAACATAATATATTTGAATATGTAGAATCTAAAATGACATTTATAGCACCTAATGTATCTATAATAGTAGGAGCTTCTATTGCTGCTAAATTGATGGGTAAGACACAATTTATTTTTTTAACTTTGTAAAACTCTTGAACAAATATCTGTCAACTTGTAAAATGATCTTTTGGAGCCTGTAAAAATAATGTTGCAAGACAGCTTGTCAATTTTTCAGATGAAATTAGTTGTTTTCCTTGTGAGCTAGAGAAAAGGGTATTCTTTGGTGACTTGTTGAAATTTTCATTTTAAATTTGTTGAATGCAGTTTTACTGTTGTTAAAATGTTCTTTTTAGACTGTTAAAATGTTCTTTTTAGACTGCTTAAATGTTCTTTTTGGACTGCTAAAATGTTCTTTTTAGACTGCTTAAATGTTCTTTTTGGACTGCTTAAATGTTCTTTTTAGACTGCTAAAATGTTCTTTTTGGACTGCTAAAATGTTCTTTCTAAAGTTTGAAAAAATGTTCTTTTTAGACTTGTACAATGCCACAGTATTTTTATAAGTAAAAAATATCCAACTGTGTTACTTTATCTACTGCTTTTTGTGAATAGTGTGTATTTTTTAATTAAAACGGCTGAAATGTATCAATCTCTATGTTTAGGTGTAGCTGGAGGGTTAACCAAATTATCAATAATGCCAGCATGTAATATCATGGTATTGGGTTCACAGAAACGAACATTGTCTGGTTTCTCTTCTACAGCTATATTACCTCATACTGGTTTCTTATATTATACTGATATAGTCCAGAAAACACCACCAGTAAGTTGCCAAATAAAGCTATGGATATCATTGTTCAGAATCAAATTCAGACATCTAGTTGCACTACAATTCATCAAATAAGTACTTATACTGCTATTGCCTTGGTGTTGTTATTAACATTCCCACTCTCAGATATTGTTGATGACTTCATATGAAAGAAAGCTCTATATTTTTTAAAGGGATTCTACAATTCTTTCTACCCGTTGGTCTTTAACCAAACCTCTTGGCATTGATCTTTCCCACATTACTCTTGCTCATTTACAACTGGGTTGACTGGAATTATAAGTGATGATGACTGATTTAAGATCATGTCGACTGAGATAAGACCCCACAACCACCATTAATTTGACGTAACCAAGCAAAATACATTACGACAACTGTGCTACAAAACACCATGATGTCAAAAGGCTGTCATTGCTGAATTTTTAAAATTAATGTATTTTTATATCTTAATTTTCAGGATTTAAGAAAGAAAGCTACAAGACTGGTAGCAGCTAAATGTACTCTTGCAGCCAGAGTTGACAGTTTCCACGAGAGTACAGATGGATCTGTAGGGGATAATCTTAGAGCAGAAATAGAACAGAAACTAGATAAACTACAAGAACCTCCACCAGTTAAAACTATTAAAGCCTTACCAGCCCCTATTGAACAATCCAAGAAGAAACGAGGTGGACGAAGGTAATGTTTCATGATGAGTTTATTACCTTGAGACTTGCAGTTTGCGACCCCTTTAGCAATCCAATTTATCCTTTGATAGCCAAAATTTGAATACATCATATATATTTGAAGCTTTACTTGAAGCTGGAACATTTCAAATTGCCACAGAATTTTTAAGAAATGCAAAAACTTGATCAGCCAAAACTAAAATTATGTGTGATAAATTGCATTTTTCAGAGCAAGAAGAATGAAAGATAGACTAGGTTTAACTGAAATGAGAAAAGCCACCAACAGAATGAACTTTGGTGATGTAAGTGTACATCAGGACTTGTTTACAATATTATTTTAAAGCATTTATTCTACAAATCTCCTTTGGGACTTCAGAGATGTTATTTGTATACATATTCTGAATTGTTTCGTTGATTTCTGTTTTTGGATTTTAAAATGAGTGTTTTTTTAAACACAATCTAAATTAGCAACAAATCATTATTTGTATATGAACAGCTGAATTTACAGACAATGTTGTTTTCCAAAGTGTGCATGATTTTTGAAAGTAGGCTATTCCCTCCCTTTGTAAACCAACTATGTTATTATTTTAGATTGAGGATGATGCTTATCAAGAGGATTTAGGTTTTTCACTTGGTTCACTAGGTAAATCTAATTCTGGTAAAATTAGAGGACCACCAGTTGATGCTAAAACTAAGGCTAGAATCTCCAAGACATTACAGGTAAACAATCAAAACTTTTTTGGGAACTCATCATGGAAAATAATCGTACTACAACTCAAGGAATTCTTATCTTATCACTGGAAAATTACATCTGTGCCAGGACAGCTGACTTATTACCACATTGGCAGCTTCCAGCACCATGTACAGCAAGCGTTGCTTATGGATCATTTGATGCCAAACTGTGTTAAATTTAACTTTATTGAAGGGATTGTTCAGAGAAAACTTTTTCTAAATACTACATCTGCAACTTGACATCTTTCTTAAAGATCCCATAAATTGGGATAAAATGACGGCCATGGGATCATAGTTATTCTAAAACTATCCAGACAGCCCAAACTTTGCAGAAATGTAATAAGCCAATGTAAATTCTAAAGTTTGCTTCAATAAGGTCTCTGTTAGCATTGATTTGGTTTTGACATTATCATGCCCAAGTTAATATTGAATACTTTATTTTTTTGCAGCAAAAATTAAGTAAAGGTAACCAATCAACATGGGGTGGTAGTACTACAGTTAAAAAACAAGTTGCTGGTACAGCTTCTAGTGTAGCCTTCACGCCATTACAGGTTTGTTTACTGTGTAATATAAATCAACACATCTGCCAGAAAAATGGCTAAATTGATAGGCAGATTGGTGTCAAGGCCAGATTTTTGTTTGCAATGATGTTTGAAAATTACAAGAATTTGGCAGAATGTTACTTGAAACAGGAAACAAACCATCTCAGTACCCTGGCATCCAACAACAAGGACCAGCATGATCGAATATCAATACATTTTCCACAAATACAATAATGATAGCCATGATAAAATCAGACGTTACTAGCAATCATTGAGGAATAGGTTTTTCATGCCAAATATATGGTAACATTGCAATATGGTTCATGTAAAAATAAGAATCTATCATATCTTTTTACATGACTCAAATGCTCAACAGATATTTATGGATATGTTTTCCAAATATAATTTTTTTATATTTTAGGGTCTTGAAATTGTGAATCCACAAGCTGCAGAAAAGAGAATTCATGAAGCTAATCAGAAATATTTCTCCAACACAGCCAAATTTCTGAAAGTTGAAACACCTAAGCCCAGTTAAAGACACAGTGACTCTTTATGTATGCATGTATCTTATGTGCAAAAGAAAGCAGTTTGGATCAATTGTTGTACATATACATGGTAAATAGGATCCCATAATGGAAATTTGATCCTGATTTGTTATGTACATTATTTACGATTTAAATGTTCAGTGCTAAGTAAGCTATAAGAATATTAAAATTGTGTGGACTCTCTAAAGGAGATGTGAACAAATCAAGATGTTAAGCTGCAAACAGTTCTCCTAATTAATGAGCATACTGTGCTTTGCAATTGATCACTCTTTCACAGGGGCTCAATGTTATAAGAGATTTTGTTTGTAAAAATTGGTTTACATTCTCAGAAATTGAATAACGGAACACAATTTTATGTTATACCACTTGTTGGATTGTGTTCCATTATTTAATGTGATCTCTACCCTTAGAAGTTGCTTAAGGTTTATTGACATAAATGTTTGTATATAAGAAGTCTTAAAGAAATAAAGTTTTTCAAAATACGTTTGCATTTCATGTTTGCTTACATCATTTCATATATACTGTTTGTGATCATGCATTATCCTTTGAAGATTGGCTTGTCAGTATAGGGTTGGTTGATAAAAGCATAGGCAGATGCGACAAGAGGTTCCAACATCTACATTTCTTAATACACCACCATTATCTTCAAGTATCTCAAGAGCACAGATATATATAACCATGATTACTCTTGACAGTGCTAACTTCAGATACAGGTTGAACAGTTAACACTAAAAAATTGTCGTGCTGTTTCAATTGGGTAGAAAAATAAAGTTATAAATGTGTATGTTTTTTGTACTAACCTATCAAAACTAGTGGACATTGAACTACATTTTAGTTAAGGAGTCTGTACCCATTTTCTAATTGTGATTATTTAATGCAATAAATTACACACTAAAAAAATTAACTCAAGATAATACCTTTAAAAAGGCATTTTGCAAAATTTTTATTCAAAATCTCTATCAGTTTAGTGTCACATCTCCAAATTGGAGAAAATTTTTATTATCAAAAATATTTCTAAAATATGCTATTTACATCTTTGTATCTATTTGGTCAAACTAAATTAGATTTTTGAAGGGTTGACTACCGGTAATTGTTAATTAAGCAGCTTGAACTAGTTTTAGAAGTGGGCCTCACAAAGACTTTAGAATTTCTCTTCAATTAGACGTTAATTTTACTTAAATTTGTTTGGTAATATTTTATCACCTCCCAAAAATCACAACAAATTAAAAAACTTAAACTTTCTAAATAGTTTTGGTTTTAAAAAATTAAGGGGAGTATTTTTTTTACCAAAAACTTGTTGTCCAGAGACACATTTCACTAGATTTTGGTATTTAGTTTCCATAAATTTGAGGGAAAAAAACAGAATGCCCCTTTAAATCTAAAATTTTTAATGAGCAAAGTTTACTAAAAGAAAGGAATATAATGCAATTGACAAAATTACAGAAGCACCATGAGTTATTGCCCCTGAGTCTTCCTTTTTCTCTGTTAAATCTATTAAGTATTTGATAGATGTTGATCGCAGGTTCCTTCGAAGTCTTGGTGTAAAGGCAAGATACATATAGTTCTGATAACGTGATGTAAATTCCTTCCATACATCTTCTGACACATAATTAGGATTCCTAAAAAAAAAAAAAATAATGTCCAGTTAAGATGGAAATTTTAGAAATACACACAAATAGACAAAGAACGGTTAATTGGGATATATTGTTGTACGTCATTAGATTGATGGAAAGTAAGTTTCTAGTGAGATATTGTAGGTCATTAGATTGATGGAAAGTAAGTTACTAGTGAGATATTGTACTAGGTCATTAGATTGGTGGGAAGTAAGTTTCTAGTGAGATATTGTAGGTCATTAGATTGATGGAAAGTAAGTTACTAGTGAGATATTGTACTAGGTCATTAGATTGGTGGGAAGTAAGTTTCTAGTGAGATATTGTAGGTCATTAGATTGATAGAAAGTAAGTTACTAGTGAGATATTGTACTAGGTCATTAGATTGGTGAGAAGTCATTTGCTAGTTGCTAGGATTAGAATGTAGTGAGATATTTTATGTCATTAGATTGATGGGAAGTCAGTTTCTAGGGAGATATTGTTAGTCATTTGCCAGGACGATAGTGAAGGTGATTAGATTGGTGGGAAGTCAGTTGCTAGGAAAATAATGTAGTGAGATATTGGAGGTCATTAGATTGGTGGGAAGTCATTTTCTAGAGAGGCATTGTAGTTGTCATGAGATAGGTAGAAAATCATTGATATTTTGGTAGGGTTGAGTAAAACACTTACCCAGTCTTGGCAAAGTTTGACCAATATTTCATTATTCTCCTTGAAAATTGGATTTCTTCATCAGACACTTCTATTCTTCGAGGGTATATAACCTCTGGTCCAAAAACAAACGCAAGTTCGTCTGCGTGGTTTGCACCTTGAAACCAGGGTCTTGAATTGGTAGTTTCTGGGTCGTGTGCAAAATAATACTGGAAAGTTTTTTTGCCTGGTGCTAATTCAGTGTGTTGCTTTAGTGTTTTAACTGATGGAGCATGCTGCATTAAATCTCCGTACAGTGCAACAAGTTTCCGGGCCTGTTCGATTTCGGAGATCCGCAATCCAGAGTACCTATTGAGAAGTTCCTGCTGGACATCCTTTGAACTATTAAAGTAATCTCTAACAATGGATTTGACAAAAAGATCTTTGAAGACTTCTCTTGGAACACCCTTATCGAGATTAAAGTTATGTGAATCTTGATAAACCCCAAGCTTAAGAAGTACTTGTCCTCCGTCTGCACTGTTCGTTCCAACCATGAGGTCAACATTTCTAAATGGAATGTTCGGTCGTCTGATAAGTCTTGAGGGCGTATTTTTCAAGAGATCGCCATCTACAACTGGACCCAAAACTCTTCTATATGTGAGCATGTCAAATTGTTTGGCTTTCAATGTGGCACCAAGGACCTCAGTAATATTTTTCGAAACCACACAGTCTTTAAGTCTCTGAGAAAAATCTGTTGCGTTGGGATAATCACAAGCTAAGGCAACAGCAAATTTTTGGGTAAAATCCAATGGGTTATGCACCAGTCCAAGAGGAGTAAGAGGAGCGCCACTTTGCAAAATAACTCTCTGAAAAAGACCGGTATTGTTCTCGTACAGTAGGTGCATGCCGATACTGTGCGCTCCTGTGCCTGAACCAAACACTGTAATCCTGTTGCTATCACCACCGAAAGCAGCAATATTGTCCTTGACCCATTTTAAAGCCAGGCGTTGATCCCAAAGACCAAGATTACCCGGGATTACAGCATCGTTGGATGAGAGAAATCCGTAAGCATCAAGTCGATAATTCATCGTGACTACTACAACATCGCCATGAACGGCAAGTAGAGATCCGTCATATCTCATTCCTTGCTCGTAAAGATATTCTCCACCATGAATAAACACCATCACTGCTCTGGGAGTTTGGGAATTCAATGTCCTGGGTACATAAACGTTCAAATGAAGACAGTCAATGCTCTGGTTTCTAACTGGGATGTTGCCATATCCATACCATGGTGGTGATTGAGGACATGATCCTTGATGATCTGTAGCATAATATATAGTCTGTTCATCTTCGCCTGTCATACCTGTCTTAGGAAGTGGTCTTGAAAGTACACTATCCTCAGTTGGACTCTCTGCATACGGAATGCCAAGAAACTGAAGAACCATCACTCCATTGTAATATTCTGTTCTTCCATACATATCACCTGCAGGTGGAGTAGCTTTTGACACGTTACCTTGGTAGTTTTGGGCATTATTGACGACAAGAAGGCCTGACAGAAGTATCAGCAACTGTAAGATGAGAACAAAATGTGTTAAAATATCTTATTTAAGATTTCTCAAGACCACAAGTATAAAGCAAAATCTTGCTATTCTAAATATATATACCAAAGTTTTTATTAAGTTAAAAAACAAAAGAAAAATTAAAACGTAAGCGCAAAAATACAATACAAAATTTTCACTGTTAAAAAAGTGCAGAATACAACAATTGTAGATCGATATAGACATATTAAAGCACAAAAATATAATAATTACCTCATGGATGTTGGCCATAATTGCAATCTAATTCATCCGTCTAGTAGGAAAACGGACAAATCAGCCAACAACTGAATGACATCTCTCAAACTGGAGACTTCAGACAAAAATATGATCTCGCATAACGATAACAAGATTATGGGATGTTTTCCTTTCTAATAAACATGTCAAGACTTATTCAATAAGATTATTTAAGCATTTCAACTTTTATTTGTATTTGATTTTACGCTACCTAACAGTCCAGAAACAGGAGAGAATCACTATAACATGTTTGGGCATAATGGTTTTTAACGAAAACATACGGTTACGTTTTATATACGCCCATATACCAAGAATAAACAAGGGTATATCGAAAAAGTCGTTGGCAAAGCATTATTAACCTAGGGTCCAAATTTGACATACCGTAATGTTTAGAGGTGCTTCTACAATTCAGACAATGCTCTCGTCCACAAATCAAGACATGCAGTTACTGCATCAGCTTATTGAAGATTCAGACAACCAACCATCTCCCTACTCTCAGTGTTGGCACCTTGTGAAATCACTGAATGTATGATCTTATCCATGGATCAAATCACTTCCGACAGCATCAAGTAAAAGATGATGTTGGAAAATGGAAAAATTCAAAAAAAATAACGCCACAAATTCGATGATATTGCATTGAACACCATTACCAACACCATCTGCGTTGTCTAGAACATTCAAATAAGATTCGACCCAGCTCTTACAAATTTCTCTCGCCTGCAAGTCTTATGCACTATTTTAAAAGAAACTATAGTTCTATTACCCTTTGAGTGAATCGGGGACTTAACCCTTGCTTGGGTGAGCATTCGGTTTTCAGAAAATTTTGTTCATTCATCCGCGAGATTTATTTGGACAATTTTAGACTGACCGTACACTATTTAGTTATCCGTTATGCTCTTTACTATAATATTTTCGCTCGAATAGATCCCCAAAATATACCAGTTGTACTCAGATTGAACAGTCTTACAAGTCAATGTCTTTTACCAATCTGATTCAAACGCAGAGCTGGATGTTTTGTTTCGTGTTTTGTCCACAGGTCAATACTCTTGTCATCTTTGATCTGACACAAATAGTCATTGAATCATGTTCAGTTTGCTAATAAATTAGCTCCAAAAGATGTTACATCTTATTCTAACCAATCAGAAACAATGTTTAAAATGAACAGTCAATGTTTAACAATGAATATCACAGAATTCCTCATAATATATAGTAAAGTTAGAGAATTTATCATTGACCAGATCATTTGATTGGATGAATATTATAAGACAAGAACATGAGATGCATAACTATTTCGTCAGATCCTTAGATCAATGGATAATGAAAACTTGGACATAAGTTTCGTACATAAACAGGTATGATAATTTATTCATAAGCAAAATACAGCAAAATGAGAGCTGATAATGCTAACAATATTTTGGGTATTCCATGAGTTATTGCCCCTGAAACATCTTTATCTTCTTTTATAAACTTTATAAAATACTCAATACTCGTCGATCTAAGATTCTTCTTAAGTTTTGGGGTAAAATCCAGATGCATATAATTTTGAAATTCTGTTGTGAACTCTTTCCATTCGTTCGTTGATCCATGATTTGGGTTTCTGCAATAGAAAATGAAAACATAGTTACAAAACGTTACAGGATAACGGTAAAAGCTAGTCGCTGGGTGTGGCAAAGGTGAAAGCTTGAAGCTTTCTTGAGCATGCTCTGACAGTCCACATTAGAATTCGTCCTGCTTTTCGATAGAACCTAGAACTATCCAATTGCCCAAAAGTAACACCAGCTTCAGGATTTTGCTACATTTGGCAATTATTTGCATATCTGCACATCTCGAAATTTGGAAAGAAACACTATACTATACTTACCCAGTCTTAGCAAAGTTCGACCAATATTTCATTATTGTCCGAGAAAACTGTCTCTCCTCCTTTGACACATTTGTTCCAGGAGGGTACATCACTTCCGGCCCAAACACAAACGTCAATTCTTCTGCGTGGTCAGCACCTTGAAACCAGGGTCTTCTTCGATTAGTTGTTGTCGGTTCGTGCGCAAAATAATACTGGTATGTCTTTTTACCGGCTGCTAGTTTAGCATGATGCCTAAGTGTTTTCACTGACGGGGCATGCTGCATGAAATCTCCGAACAGTGCAACAAGTTTCCTGGCCTGTTCAATATCTGAGATCCACAATCCAGAATACCTAATGAGAAGTTCCTGCTCGACATCCTTTGAACCGTTAAAGTAGTCTCTAATGATCGATTTGACAAAAAGATTTTTGAAGACTTCTCTTGGAACACCCTTATCAAGATCAAAGTTATGCGAATCTTGATAAAATCCGAGCCGATGAAAGGCCTGTCCCCCTTCGGCACTGTTCGTTCCAACCATAAGATCAACATTGCTGAACGGAATATCCCTGCTTTTGACGAGTTTATAAGGATAATCTTTCAAGAGTTCGCCATCCACAACTGGTCCTAAAGCTCTTTTGTATGTAAGCATATCAAATTGTTTGGCTTTCAATGTTGCTTCAAGGACCTCACTACATGTATTTAACGACACTACGCAGTCTTTAAGTCTCCGAGAAAAATCCGTTGCGTTGAGGGCAAGATCGCCACAATCTAAGGCAACAGCAAATTTTTTAGCAAACTCCAGTGGGTAATGCACCAGTCCAAGAGGAGAAAAAGCGACGCCACTTTGCAAAATAGCTCTCTGAAAAAGACCGGTATTGTTCTCGTAGAGCAGTTGCATGCCGATACTGTACGCTCCTGCGCCTGAACCAAACACTGTAATCCTGTTGCTATCACCACCGAAAGCAGCAATATTGTCTTTGACCCATTTCAAAGCCAGGAGTTGGTCCCAAAGTCCAAGGTTACCTGGGAGAACAGAATCGTTCGTCGAGAGAAATCCATAGGCACCGATTCTATAATTAATTGTGACCACTACCACATGACCATGAACGGCAAGTAGAGATCCGTCATATCTCATGCCTTGTCCATAAAGATATTCTCCACCATGAATAAATACCATCACTGCTCTGGGAGTTTTGGGATTCATTGTCCTGGGTACATAAACGTTCAAACGAAGACAGTCAATGCTCTGGTTTGTAACTGGGGTGTTCCCAAATCCATACCATGGTGGTGATTGAGGACAGGACCACAGGTGGCCTGTAGCAAAATAGATAACCTGCTCATCTTCCCTTCTCATTCCTGTCTTTGGAAGTGGTCTTGAGAGCAAAATATTATCAAAATGAAGACTTTCCCCATAAGGAACGTCTAAAAACTGTAAAACCTTGACGCCATCGTAATATTCTGTTCTACCATACATATCACCGACGGGTGGAGTAGCTTTTGACATTGTTCCCCGGTAGATTTGAGTATTACAAAGTGCAAGAAGGACCGACAAAAGTATCAGCAACTGTAAGAAAGAGGACCAACAATTACAATTTACCAAAGATTGTGCCAAAATTTATTACCAAGTACGTTTCCAAATTTAGTTTGTCTCTTTCGGATTTTCATAACCATTTCGGCAATGGGTTGATTTCTTTTATTAGAAACATACAATACAATGCTTAAATATTTTGAACAGCGCATAGTTGTGGTCTTTTCATTTAATTCAGTATTTCGAATTCGCACAGTGCCACAAAATATCACCTTGAATTCAAGTGAACTAGTGCTTTGCCTTAAAGTTAGACAATGACTATGGAAATAGTAGATTTCTCATCTTTATCAATTACTCCCAAAGTTACTATAAATAGAGGCACGCTCTTACTACGTCACACACTGGGATACCTATCACAAATAAATATCTTGGAAATGCTTTGCCATACCTGTGTCATATTTGTGATAGATTTTATCTTATGACAATATAACAAAACATAGCAATATAGAATACAGAATTAAACTCACCTTCATTCTGTTATATAACCACACCACGTAGAACTTTTAGCTCTGTATCTTGAACGACATATGCCCTAAAAAACTTTGAGTGAGTGTGCTTCTGGCCGTGTTTTAAAGCTAAACTCATCCATCCTAATGTATCCTACGTAATTTGAATCTGTTGCATCCTTCCTCACAATTACGCAATCATTTTCATGTCTGTTCAAGTAGAGAATATTTTCTTGCAGAGTAAGTTACTATAAAAGTATAGCATTGTATGACTGAACTGCCCTACTAGCCACCACATGTGGCGATGATGTTACGCATAAGATAACCAAATAACTTCGTCCACAAATGGAAAGTTTTGATTAAGGCACGGTATCGCCATTTAGGGGGATTGATTTGGGTCTTGAATATATGTAAATAATCTTCATAAGTATATAGTAGAATATATAAAATCGCACAATTCCTTCATAAATACTTGAAACTAGGAATTTCATTTTCTATTTCTATAAATGTCTTTTCTATGTATGGCAGAGTCTCAAATCTCTTAAATATCTAACGCGGAGAATTCTGGATACAGATGGATTTGAAAGTCCAAATTTAGACGGCGAGCTGTGCATATACTATTGCTGATTAACGTAGATAAAAATGTGCCATTGATCAAACGGATGCCGAAACTGTCCCTTTCGTCGTATTACACCTACCGTCACGAAAATATTTTATTCGATATGTTTATCTGGGTCAACAACAGACTGATGTACTGTAGAGTGAGTACCGATTCGACATGAGCGAGTTAAGTTCTTAATTGCTACTCTGAAACTTTTTCAACCCGGTTTGTCTGTCTGAGGAATATGCCGGAGTCCCTTTGCGGAATTGTTGTGGCCCGAGGGGTGGATGGGTGGCAAAAGTTACCGCCTCAATACGCCAATTTCAGCGGAAAGCTTATAATTCCGTCGAGAAACATTTCGGGAATATCCGACTATACCATACCACGTACAGATATGCTACAGTAACTGTTTATTTGATTAGAATCGGCTACTAAAGCACGACGTATAACATTTTCGATCTTATCTACGAACCACGTTTAACATTAAAATACGTTGAAAAATACATGGATATGATTATCGACGGTAAACGTTCATATAGAACCATGTGGAGGTATGAAATAGCTCGCAGGAGAGATAGTGACAGCTGTGGTCATATTAAGTAAGAGACGATCACCACAACTACCATCACCAACTATTCCACAACAGAGTTCGTTCAACAGACATAATCAATATAAACGTCTTATCTAGTAAAATATTCAAGAAGCGACAGTTCGTTAAATGAAAGTTGTGATTGTATACTAAGTAGCTTATGTAATCTCGTGGTCCAAAGATAAAGACAGCGTTCGTATTTTTGTTGTCAAGAGAATCTAGTCTATTATCATTCAAAATGTTTGGCTTAAAAGTAAGTTTTCAATCTTTATGACTATAATTCATGTCACTAGATGTGCACATTTGTGCAACAATTGGCCCCATTACCGATTTTGTTCTCTAGCGTGTCCGTCTGGTCTTTTATGGGTTGTTTACTGATATAAAAAAATTTTTTTATTTACTATTTTCTTAAATAAAATATCTAGGTGCAGGACCACCTGCCTTGAAACATTTAATGAATGATGATAATGGTGAAAAATTCAATCATAGAATATGGGTTTTTTTTCAGATTGCTATTTTGTTAATTGTATCATCAATTCAGTTTTGGTCAGTGACTAGAGGAATAATAGTTACAACACCATTGGGTAGAATTCGGGGTACAACCTTCCAATACAATGGTACAACTGTTTACAAGTTTCTGGGCATTCCATATGCTAAACCTCCAGTTCAAGACTTGATGCTAGAGAAGCCAATACCAATTGGACCATGGCACGGAACCTTGAATGCTACTACATATGGATCAGCATGTGTTCAAAGAGGTTCTTCATCTCATAAAAATCCAGTCAAGAGCTTGGATTGTCTTTACCTGAACGTTTATGTTCCCCGATCTCTTACAGAGATAAAACCAGTTATGATCTTTATCCATGGCGGTAGTTATATGTTCGGCGATGGAAGTATGTATGATGGTACCGCTTTAGCAGCTAATGGAAATGTCACTGTGGTTGTTATCAACTATCGCCTGGATGCTTATGGGTTTTTATCTACAATGGACAATGAGATTCCGGGTAACTATGGCCTCTGGGACCAGCGCCAAGCTATGATCTGGGTCAAAGAAAATATTCAAAATTTTGCAGGTGATAATGCTTCCCTAACCATGTTTGGTGAAAGTGCCGGTGCCTACAGTACAGGTGCCCACATGTTATCAACGCACAATGTTGGGCTCTTTCACAGAGTTATTTCTGAGAGTGGTGTGGCAGTTTCACCAATTGGAATGACGTATGATCCAATCTATTATTCTAGGAAGATCAGTGATTATTTGGGATGCACTCAGTTTAACGCATCTGGTGGTTGGGATACGAAAGCATTCAAGCAGTGTTTTAAGTCTAAAGATCCATCATTAGTGTTAGACGCTTCAATCAAAGCAGGCGATTATGGTGTTCTTGCGTATCGAAGAATTATTGGTCCAGTGGTTGACGGAGATTTCCTGCTCGATTTCCCTCGGAATGTTCTAGACAGAGATGACGTACCTTTCAAGAACATTGATTTGATGGTTGGAACTAATGCACAGGAAGGCAGTTTGACTGTTGGTCCTCTACAAGCATACGTTAAGCAGTACAATATCAGTTTACCAAAGGGGGTTCCACGGCAGATTTTTAAGGATCACATAGCTTTGGCCATAGCTAGAGATTATTACAATGATAGTTTCGATCAGGTTCTGGACAATATTACGAATACGTATATGTATTCATTTGATGGGATCTCTGATTTCGACCAAGCCGTGAAAATGGTAGAGATGTACGGTGATTTTATTCTTCAAGCTCCCACCGTGGAAACGGTCGAGTATCATACAAAGCTGACCAAGATGAAGAAGACATATCAGTATTATTTCACTCATAAACCAGTTAAAAGACATTCTCTCCCATGGCTTCAAGGAGCAAACCACGCAGACGAACTAGAATACGTGTTCGGGCCTCCTTTGAAAGGCATTTCCGATGAGAAGATACATTTTTCACGATTAGTTATGAAGTACTGGAGTAATTTTGCAAGATATGGGTAAGTATCAAAATATTCTTAGCTGACGTATCTCAAAATTTTTTGATTGTGGGTTGCCAACTTATGATGTCTTTTGAAAAGTCCACCTATTTGATAATGGACACTTATTTTGGACATGTTATGTGGTCTTATTACGACGAAGTTTCAGAGTGAAAGTTTGGGGTACAAAACGTATATAATGAAAATTAGATATCATAGACAAGGGCTTTAAGTATATAGCAACTACAAAGCAAAAATTAATTATATGGTAGTACATGTAGTTAATTATGTATGAAAGCACATAAAAACTTTGTTAACCTGTCATTATTATGACAGTTTGGTCCCTGATATGATTTTTTCGCCGATCTGTATTTTCAGAAATCCCAATGGTGAAGGTCCAGACCAATGGCCAAAATCAAACCAATATACAAAGCCGTATTTTCTTCTTGATTTCAACCAAGCAGCTTATACAAAGTTACTCAGGCGTAGGGTCACATTTTGGAAGAATCTTGGCACCCAATCCACCTAGGCAATTAACATTGTCATGAAACATATTTGTAAATTCTTTTAGAAGCTTTTGGGCAAAATAAATTGTGACTGTGAAATAACACTTATTTCCAGGGAATATTTATAAATGTGAATCGTAAAGAAGAGTTTGAAATTATGGTAACATTAAAAATGATGAAAATCAGAATGTTTATGAAACATTTATAACCAAATAAATTCAATGAATCAAGTATTACTTCCCTTTAATGACATTAATGGAAAAAACAAAACTGTTTTCAATAAATTAACAAAAACTCACATAGTGTTGTACACTGGGAGAAAAGTATTGCAAAAACATTGATTATTCTTTTGAATTTGTACAGATATTACTGTGTGTAAATGACATTCAAAGTTAAAAGTTTAACAACCATTACAAATAACCAAATTCACAAGGTACCATCAGTAAGATTAGATACACATCCAAGAACTTTGTTTCCAGTTTTTTTTTCTTTTCGTGGTAATTTCTTTTGCTATCTATCTGCAGGACATCTAAGCTATTTAAATATATCAACTAATCTGCTAAATAAATGTTTTGTCTACCTCAGGCCTGTGCAACCTATGGACTGCGGCCAACTGCCTACCACTGGCATCCCCCAAATGTGTCCCACCGTTGCAGAAAGGTTGCACAAGCCTGGTCTTCTCAATTGAGGAATTATGGGATGTACGTTGACGCAATTTAGAAAGGGTATTTGATGAGGTAAATTAGGATAAATCATTACACAATTGGTTCAGGATTTGACAGTAAAAAAGAAAAGAGCCAAAACAATATTAAATTAGCCCTACAATCAGGATGCAAGAAGCACAATAATTATCTATCAACTATATATTTTATTATGGATAAGTAAGAAATCATTTAACAATAATAGTAATTTCAATATAATACTTCTTGGTATATCATGTAAGTAATCACATATTTAAGTCCCTGGGAATCACATAATTAAGTAAAAAGAGAAAAACATTCCAGAACTCTTGCACAGAGCCTTTCTTCATCTCCTGATCCCTTGCTATCAAATAAGTAAGGTCCTTGGCAACACTCAAAATGGCTACAATCAACCAGGTAAATTCATAAATTCAGATAACAAAAATAAAACGGAATAAAAATCCATACAAGCATGATAAGTACCATTAGGTGTTTCAAAAAGAGTAAGGCATGGTCTGCGTGACACCTGCCACTATTACAATGGTCAAAATCATGAGATGCAACCAGATCACTAAATAAATCAGCAAAAATGCCAGAAACTGATTTATTGTATTGCTAAAGTTCATCAAAACGACCATAAAATTTCCTACATTTTTAAGTACACTGATCTCAACTAAAAACCTAAGTATGAATTTATTATCAATTTGAATAAATTTGCGTCAATCAAGCAAGATTTCAGATTATCATCTTTAGCTTAATATATTTGCAGGAAACTACTACCTAACTCTAATGGATACCAAGTCATCAAAACTTCTAAGCAAGTATGCATGTAAGTCTACTGTTAAGGATATAGTCACCTATCAATCAAAATTCAGATCATGGCCATGAATTCATGATCTTTAGTTATATATATTTGCAGAAACAACTACCTAGATCTAACCTCAAATGGATACAAATATTTAAATCAAAATTTCAAATCAAGACTAGGAAAATCAACAAAAGTCAGCAGAATTGATATTTGATTTAAAGGGTGATATTGAGCTGCCTTATAATAACAAGGATTGTTCGTTGTGCGTTCATCAGGTTGGAACGGCTCAATCAAATATTGACAAATTAGTTCCAATATCAAAAGGATTGTAAAGAAGTTTTCTAAAAAAAATTATGTGTATATGGACACTTATAACATCAATTTGCACCATTCCAATTTTCAAAAGAGGCGATTGTGGTTCCTGTAATTCCATTAAAACTAACTGATTTATGACATCAGAAAATGCATTTAGTTTTAGTGGAATTGCAGGAACCCCAGACGTCTGTTTGAAAATTGGAATGATGCAAATTATGTGTATTGGGTACTCTTATATCATCAATTTGCACCATTCCAATTTCTATCAGACGTTTTTGGTTCCTGCAATTCCATTAAAAGACTAAGTGTTTGATGACGTCAGTAATCACAATTAGTTTTAGTGAAATTGCAGGAACCCCCGATGTCTGATTGAAAATTGGAATGATGAAAATTGTGTGTCCCAGATACACATACAAATTTTAGAAATCCTTTTTACAATCCCTGTAACTTTAAATTCCAAACACTATAAAAAAATATAATTTTTACATCCCAGCAGATTAGTTCATTTTCCATGAGGTAGATATAATTAAGGATTTAAAATTAGGCCATTGGTAGTTCATGAGCTGCAGCATATCTTCCAGTTACATAATGAAAGATTTGCCTTTCAATGTCTCCTAAAAGACTACTAGCCCCAAAACGGAACAGGTTTGGTTTGGTCCAATCATCACCAAGTTCTTCTTTCATCAGAGACAACCAGGTACAGGCATCTTTAGCTGTCCTGATACCACCAGCTGGTTTAAAACCAACCTGAATTCATGAAAGCAAACGCTATCTATGGTTAAAGTATATGCACAAATTCCAGCACACAGGGTCAGATATTTTATTGCTATTTGTATCAATATGTGGGCCATTTGAAGACCGAAGAAAATAAAATGAAGACGGAAACAAGCAATATGAAGATGAAAGCAAGCAACATGAAGATGTAAGCAAGCTACCAAAAGATACAATCAAGCAACATGAAGAAGAAAGCAACCTAGTGATAACGGGAAGCAACTTGAAAATAAGCGATTTAAAGACAGAAACAAGAAATACAAAGACAGAAGCAGACAATGTTAAGATGGAAGAAAGCTTTGAATATGGAAGCAAGCAACATGAAAATGGAAGCAAGCAACATGAAAATGGAAGCAAGCAACATGAAGATGAAGTAAGCAATATGCAGATGAAATCAAGCAACATAAGGATGAAATCAAGCAACATGAAGATGGAAGCAAGCAACATGAAAACGGAGTGAAGCAACATGAAGACGGAGGGAAGCAACATGAAGACGAAGGCAAGCAGCATGAAGATGGAAGCAAGCAACATGAAGATGAAATCAAGCAATATGAAGATCAAATCAAGCAATATGAAGATGAAATCAAGAAACATGAAGATAGAAGCAAGCAACATGAAGATGAAAGCAAGCAACATGAAAACGGAATCAAGCAATATGAAGACGGAAATAAGCAGCATGATGGTGGAAGCAAGCAATATGAAGATGGAAACAAGAAACATGAAGACAGAAATAAGCAACTTGATGATGGAAATAAGCAACATGACAATGGAAGCAAGAAATATGAAGATGGAACAACAAGAAGTTTAGCAACATGCAGCAGAATTAAGCAAAATGAAGCGAAATGAATATTGAAGCAAGCATTTTCAACAGAATCATCTTCAAAAAGTGTGCAGCATCAAACAGAAACTGCATAAATTCTTACCTTGTAATTTGTTCGTTGGTAATATTCTCTGATAGCTCTAACCATGACTAGACCTACTGGTAGAGTAGCATTAACACCTTCCTTACCAGTGGATGTCTTGATAAAATCAGCACCTACAAATATGAATATTGTACAGGATTTGATCCCTTAACCTAGTTTGAAATATGTGGAGTACTTCTGTCTGGGATAAATATATACAGCTGTCCATAGCCACTAGCCAGTAAGTTTTCTGCCAGACGCTTCAAAATCTTGAGTAAAACATGTTAATAATTCTAGAATATTCAATGTAAAGGTTTACAGTACCAACTAAGTTTTTGTTTCAAAACTGAAACTGAGTGTCTTTAGGGCAATAAATACAGGTTAAAGCTTTTGTTGAATTTTTGAAATGGATAAATAAATAAATAATTTACCTGCCATCATACAGACCATACTAGCTTTATAAACATTTACCATGGAGCCTAGTTCACCAGTAGCAAGTATAGTTTTTAAATGAGCTTCACCACAAGCTTCTCTCATTAATCTTACTTCATTATATACCCCTAAATAATAAACATTATATTCATATAGCTACATTCAATATTTCTAATTTCTATATTGTTTCATTCAATATTTATGATTTCATATCATTACATTTAATATTTATGATTTCATATCATTACATTCAATATTTATGATTTCATATCATTACATTCAATATTGTAGATTTTATTTAGTTACATTCAATATTGTAGATTTTACATAGTTACATTCAATATTGTAGATTTTATATCATAACATTTAATATTATAGATATTATATAATTACATTTAATATTGTAGATTTTATATAGTTACAATTAATATTGTAGATTTTATATAGTTACAATTAATATTGTAGATTTTATTTCATTACATTTAATATTATAAATATTATATAATTACATTTAATATTGTAGATTTTATATAGTTACAATTAATATTGTAGATTTTATATAGTTACATTTAATATTGTAGATTTTATATAGTTACAATTAATATTGTAGATTTTATATAGTTACAATTAATATTGTAGATTTTATATAGTTACAATTAATATTATAGATATTATATAATTACATTTAATATTGTAGATTTTATATAGTTACAATTAATATTGTAGATTTTATATAGTTACATTTAATTTTGTAGATTTTATATAGTTACAATTAATATTGTAGATTTTATATAGTAACAATTAATATTGTAGATTTTATTTCATTACATTTAATATTATAAATATTATATCATTTCATTTAATATTGTAGATTTTATACAGTTTCATTTAATATTGTAGATTTTATATCATTACATTTAATATTGTAGATATTATATAGTTACATTTAATATTGTAGATTTTATATAGTTACAATTAATATTGTAGATTTTATATAGTTACATTTAATATTGTAGATTTTATATAGTTACAATTAATATTGTAGATTTTATATAGTTACATTTAATTTTGTAGATATTATAACATTACATTTAATATTGTAGATTTTATACAGTTTCATTTAATATTGTAGATTTTATATCATTACATTTAATATTGTAGATATTATATAGTTACATTTAATATTGTAGATTTTATATAGTTACAATTAATATTGTAGATTTTATATAGTTCCATTTAATATTGTAGATTTGATATAGTTTATATAGATTTTATTTCATTACATTTAATATTATAAATATTATATCATTTCATTTAATATTGTAGATTTTATACAGTTTCATTTAATATTGTAGATTTTATATCATTACATTTAATATTGTAGATATTATATAGTTACATTTAATATTGTAGATTTTATATAGTTACAATTAATATTGTAGATTTTATATAGTTACATTTAATATTGTAGATTTTATATAGTTACAATTAATATTGTAGGTTTTATATCATTACATTTAATATTGTAGATTTTATATAGTTACAATTAATATTTCAGATTTTATTTCATTACATTTAATATTGTAAATATTATAACATTACATTTAATATAAATTTTATACAGTTTCATTGATTTTATAAAGTTCCATTTAATATTGTAGATTTTATATAGTTTCATTTAATATTGTAGATTTTATATAGTTTCAATTAATATTGTAGATTTTATATAGTTTCAATTAATATTGTAGATTTTATATAGTTCCATTTAATATTGTAGATTTCATTACATAAATCTGACATGTTACATCTATCTGATTTCATTAAATATATCTGATTTCACCAAATATCACATTTCATTTCTGATTTCGCATGAAAAATTCCTACTTCACCTATTTCACATTTCTGATTGCATAATGTATTTCTGATTTCATTACATCTTGCTGATTTCACAAATAAATCTTCAATAAAACCATACAACATAATAACCCTCCTACCTTTCCAATCTCCAGTTAAAGCCATTGTTCTGTTTATAACAATGTCTATTTCTCTCGCTCCATCCTCTACAGCCTGTCTTATTTCTTCCAATCTAGTCTTTAATGGTGTTTGACCAGCAGGAAATCCAGTAGCAACTAAAAAGAGAATTTTGCTATAAGAGGAATTTTTTTATGCCTTTCATGACAAATTTTGAAAAACATTGAAGCTTCTTTAATATTGCAAATCAGTGTTTTATTTGTTGTTTGACTGAATGCTATAGAATTGTTTGGATATTTTAGAGCCCCATTGTTAACCATAATGCAATTTTCAAAGCATGCATGTGTCCACATCAAGATCAAATGCCAATTTGCATTAATTAGTATCATTATTTATTCTGCTGTTCTTATATTAAACGTTATATTACCTGATGCTATAGGTATCTTGGTACCATTACATGCCTTCAGTGCCTTAGCACAATCCTGTATCCGACTTGGATAAACACAAACAGCACCAGTAGTCAGACCTGTAGTTAAATTGAAAAAAGATTTAACACCTCAGTATAGCCATGAGAATTTATTTTGACCAAAAGTTTGAAAAGACCACAGACTAAATCTGGTAAAGATCTTAGCTTAAAACACATCAATGTACATTTGGTGCCGCCTTTACAAATTATCGATTTACAATATGAAAACATAAGTGATGCAAAATAATACACAACTTGCCTTTATCTTGCATCCCAACTGCCTTAATCAAATCAGATCTGATAGGATTTCTAGCTTTATAGCATAACCTAGATACATTAGCTGGTGTATCATCTCCTGCTAATGTTGTTAAATCTATACAAGATACAGCTCTCAATAACCATGCTGCCTACAAATACAGAAAAAATACATTTTAGTGGTTTTCAAATTTAGAGAGCATTCTAAACTTAACTTTGCATTATAGTCAAGAAGCTCAATGAGGGAGTATATGCACCAATTTACTTGATATGGAAACACAATTCTAAAACAATTCGTGAAACCAAGAAGCTTGCACATATCCCTTCCTTATGTAGTCATAGTCTGAAGCAGAAACATTTCATAAAAAGACTAAATTTAAGATCTGAAATACATTTTGATATCAGCCAATTAGATTGTGAGAACTCACGGGTTCAGTTTGAGTTTTGAAATATATTCCTTGAGCTGACGTTTGATACTTGAGCATAAGACGGCTGGCTTTCTAATGTGGCCAAAAGGACATCATCAAAGCAGAAACTACAAGGATTACATTATTCTAAATATTTTCTTTACCAAATCATTTCAGCTATCTTTGGCATTTTCAAAATCTCACCTCTGATTCTCCTACATTGCAACAAACATAATACAAGGGCCGCAATGATTCACTGATGAATCGATGAACCCTGATTCTATCCTTCTTATCCTAAATAATCACAATGTATAGGCACGATTATTGATAAACTCCTTTAATAACAATCAATATGGAATCCTGTTTATATCAGAAATGTGTTATGATTCAAATATTTTATGTAGAATTTTCTCATCAAACTTTGTAAAAAAAATCATTACTGACTATAAAAAGTAAGAATTTTCTTTCGCAATTCTTTCCTTCTAAATGTTTTCATGTGCTAAATAATGACAACATTGTTATTTAAAAAGTTTCTACTAAATTTCTCTTTCTTTTTCTAATAAATGAATCACGATTATTATCGCAATGCATTCAGTTTATCGAATCACAACTGAATTAGTCGAATTATTACCTCATGGCGTCTTAATTTTGATAATAAACTATACCTAAGAAGGTTAAAGGGGCAGATGTGCCATTTTGGGGGGTTGATTTTCATCTTGAAAATATAAGTAAATAGTCTTCAGAAGTACTAGAACATCACATAATTCCTTTAAAAATACTTCAAACTACGAATTTTACTTACTAATTCTATATGATATGTCTTTTCTATATATCACAGAGATTCTTAAATTGATGAGTCGTCATGTTAACATTCAAAGGCAATTCTGGACACTATTACTGACTAGCTCAGCAAAAAAATTCCAGTTTCTGAGACTAAAGTATGATTGGTCAAAAAATGGTCTACCTGTCCCTTTAATTATACCCTCAAAGTGATGACAGTCTAAATTGGCCCGGTGCATTTTTCTTTATGTTAAACAGTAGGATAATCAGAGGTGAGATTCTGAAAAGGGGCTACTGATAGCTGAAAATGAGCTCAGTTGGTAAGCAAATAATTGGTTGACTATATCCCTTTGTTTTAATCAGTTTAATACATGACCTACCAACTTCACAATGTAGAGCTTTTAGGAACTGTGCCTAATACCTTGACTTCATGAGGCTCAAGGAAGTGTGTAAATACAGCAATTTGTTTGGATTGTAGTATAGCCAATACAACCAAACAGAGCTCTGATTGGTTGTATTAGCTGCCATACAATCCAATCAAATTTCTGTATTTTGTGAAAGACCTCAATGAAGGTATTAGCTGTAGTTCGTATTAGCTTGATATTGTGAAGATGATGGCACGAAGGTATTTACTCACATGGCTGATTTTATTATTTCTATCAATATATAACATTCAGAAATAAATAACCAACATCTGTTGTAACTTTTCTGGTGACAGAACAATATTTCACAGTAAATATATGTTTGTGATAAAAAAAGATATTGAGCTCCATATGTTTGATATTTGCATACCAATAAACCAGCAGTATACGGATTAAGATAGCTTGTAGATCAAGATATTTCATTTTAAGCATCCTAAGTAAGTTGGAATAAAGGGAAAGTAGAGAGATTTTCAAAACTTTTTATGTGTATCAAGACATTTGTTAAGCAATTTTCAATCAGACATCTGTGTTTCTTGCAATTCTGCTAAAGGAAGCAGTTTATGATGTCATTATCACAAAAGGCATATAGATATTACAGTAGATTTTGTTAAAGTGATGTAAAAGAGCCTCACTTTAGTGAAAATAGCAGGAACTATTGACATCTGACAGAAAATTGGAATGGACAATTGGGCAACTAATACACATATAAAGTTTAGAAAACCTCCTTGCAATCCTTTAAATTTGCTCATTTGCATTAAATTATACCAGTGGAATACATTGAAAAGGTAACATTGATCTCCAATATTAGCTATCCTGTTGAAAATATTGTTTCGGAACAGTTTACAGCAGCATGATATGAAAACTATTTAATAAAGCAGTTTGAATAATGTTCTGCTATGCTGCGGGCACACGAATGGTCTTGGTCGACAATTTTTGACGCCAACTAGAGTAAAAAATTTCCAGTCAGTTGTTATCCACTATGTTAATAATCACGTATGCGTTTCATGCAATTGAAAGGAAAATGAATCTGATCGCATGATAACGGTCTGTCTTATAGGCGACAAATTGTGTGCCTGTTAAGTTGTCAACTTTTAAGTTGTCATTGCCTGATTTTCCTTTAAATACACGTACTTACTAAAACATGAACCGACCAGAAACGACCAAGAAACAACCAGAAACGACCAGGAAATGACCAATGAAAAGGTGAAACAACCTGGAACCGAGCAGAAAAACGACCAGGAAGCGAACTCAAACTATTTTGCAATGAATTCTATGCATGTTAATCAGGCAGAAAAGTTTTGAAGTTATTTAGGGGAATAGGACTGTGTTCATAATCTTTGCTAACAGTATAATGTCATTTAAGACGAAATCTAAGTTGACCTTTTACAAACTTAATGAATTAGAGTGTCCCTTTAAACTTAATGGAAACACAATATAACAATTTTGTTAAATTTGTTATACACTGTTATACAACAGACTAAATTGGGTGTGGGTTATGTGCGTTATATCACAGTCAAAATGCACTCAGCTGGGAAATATGAAAGACAAGGTCATTAAGTGAACTTCTTCCAAATGCACATTTTTTTAAAATGATTGATGATTTTTCGGGCAAATTAACATACTTAGAGTTTATTGCCAAATAGTTTGAGGTTGTTTCCTGGTCGTTTTTCTGCTCGGTTCCAGGTTGTTTCACGTTTTCATTGGTCGTTTCCGGGTCGTTTCCTGGTCGGTTCATGCTTTAGTAAGTACGTTAAATACAAAAGTATACAACACAACGTACCTGCCATTGTTTTTTAACTGTGCGTCTGGTTCCCAGTGTTTCTGCTCTACGTTTAACTGCTGGTAGATTGATATACACATTCTGTATCCATGTTTCATCTGTAATATAAATAACCAATATATATATAATTTAGCTGCATGACTAACCATGCTTGCAATATTCTACAATATGATTTAATTCATTTGCTGACTATTAAGAGCTTAGGATGTGAGTAGGTTTCTAGTAGTTAAGCCTACCGGTACCTCTCACCACAGAAGCCACAATAGGTAGGTAGGCTAGTATATAACTAATTTTGGTACTCTGGATAGGGGATAGGGGACTGGGTTTTAAATGATTCAAATACTTCCAACCACAAACTGTAATATTATTCAGGGGTTGATTTGGGTTTTCAATGAATGAAACATATGTCTTCAGAAATACTAGAAATGTACAAAAATTGCATAATTCCTTGAAAAATATCTCAAACTAGAAATTTCACTTTCTATTTCTATATACCTGTAATGTATTTTCTATTTGTGGCAGAGTCTCAAGAAAAGACGATTCACCTTTCTAACTTTCAAACACTGATAATTCTGGACACACATGGATTTGAAAGCAAGCATTTCGATAGTGAGCCCTATTAGGCCCTACTGAAAAAATTTATGTTTCTGCAACTAAGGATTAAGGAACGATTGGTCAAATGGAAGGTAAACATGTCCCTTTAAGTTCCATTTTCCACTCAAATGTGTTTTCATACATTTCAAGAAACGGAGAAATTTAATCAGAACAACTGCTTTTTAATAAGAAAGGGGTTGCGTTTCAGGTAGGCAACTTTATTATATAATACTTGTTGAGTTTCCTATGAAAGTTCATATTTGCAACAAACTATAAAAGTAACAATGCAGGAGCGTGCTGATTGACCTACATCTTGGTTTAATTGTTCGTAACTAGCCTAGCCCACTAATGACAATATTAAAGGCCATGGTTTGCATTTTTTGGTATTGAATATTATGTAAACAGTCTTCAGAACTACTGGAACTGCACAAAAATTGCATTATCCCTTCAAATATACTTGAAACTAGAAATTTAACTTTTTTTTTATGATGTTTTTTCTATAATATTGTATTAAGAAAAGATGACTTGTCATTTTAACTTTCAAACGTAGACACACATGGATTTGAAGGCTCAAATTTCGACAAGGACCTTTAAACACATTACTGATTAAAGCCTAGCTAAGCAATTCCTGTTTCTGAGACTAAGGTACAATTGGTCAAAAGAACGTGTGCTTTTAATGACAATCAGAAACCAGAAATCAGGTGTAATTGTGAAAAGCAATAAAAGATTGAGGTCCATCATTTGGGGAATCAAAATGAAATGAATGGAGTTTTACGTCCTACTTTTCTGCACCATGTGGGCTAATGAAGACGTGCAATGAGGGAATTTTTGCCAGGACAGCAGCATTAGCCTGCTCTTTTTCGATTTCCAACTGTCGAGGGATCTTTAATGTGCACAGCCTGTAGCACACAGGGCCTCGGTTTATTGTCCCATCCGAACGACTAGACGCTTTTTCCATGTTATATTATATAATATATTATATAGCCTATATTATAATAATAGCCTATCAGTAGTATCAACCTTGGCAGGTCAAAACTATGACCCAAAGTTCAATATTTGTGGAGAAGTACAAAGTACAACACAAAGTCACAATTAAAGATAAAATGTATCATCATATCAAATATGCCATTCTGATATCCTTTGCAGTGAATAGCTTAGCACTGAAGGTGCATTTTGGCATGTTTTGCCTTCCATACATCACAGCTGCTGTACATCGAACGCACCAATAATAACTTACTGACCGAGAAAATAAAAATACCAAATACACAGACTTGGCTAACTGAAGTAAGTTAATTATATTTACACATACAGCAGACTGATTTTGGTGTAACGTGAAATGCACTCTGGCATCGACTTACATACAAGTTAGAAAAAGAATTTTGAGTTGTTCTACATACCGTATTCGATTCCTGGGTTTCGAGCTGCCATTTTCTAAAGTACACTTAACACTGGTTAATCTTGACTGTTTCGTCTAGATTATCACACAATCAAGATAGACAGTGTTAGTAAAACTAGGATATGATTTTAACTTTAAACTAGCCTACTTTTTTATTTAGGAAATTGTTTATCTGTAATTTTTTCAATTTTTTCTCCGATTAATTGAAAAAGGACACAGGCATGTCATGTGCAATGAGGGAATTTGCGTTGTTGGCCCCTTTATTTTTAAAAAGCTGTTAATATATTTTTAGAATGGATGCAATCATTAATTTAAAAGATGTCAATTTGTTGATCGCCAGTGGATGCATTATCTTCAACCCCTTATATTGGAATATTGTAGCTCGCTGGGAGTGCAGAAGTAGAGCCATATCTAGAAAACTTGGAGCAAAAGTGGGATGCAGTTTGTTAGCGGCGACAATTTTGGTTCTTGGTATAGTGCGAGATTGGAGATTCGGAGAAGCTATTGTAACACAGCCCCGTTGGCATGTAATGGAGCAGCAATGGATATGGGCGCTCGGATATGTTACAGTATCCATGGGTACCATTCTAGTGTTGTCCAGCTTTCTGCGACTTGGTTTCTTTGGAACTTTTCTTGGAGACTACTTCGGAATTCTTATGGATGAAAGAGTTATAGGATTTCCTTTCAATATTATCAACAATCCAATGTATTGGGGTACTAGTCTGAACTTTCTGGGTTATGCTGTAGTTCAAGCAAGTCCTGTAGGAATAATTTTGTCCGCTCTGGTTGCGATTGTTTATAAAATAGCAATAATATATGAAGGGGAATTTACAACTAGAATTTACAACGAAGCAGATAAAAACAGGAAAATGGTTTGAGAGCATAATATTATGTGTGAAAGTTTTTTTTTTAATAAATATTTATTCGAATGATGTAGGGGTAAAAGACGAGATATTGAACAAAGTGTCAAAAATAAAGATTAAGTTCATGATTTTTTTTTCTTAATTTTACTGTGTGGCGTTGTAAGGAACGGTTGTTGTGGTTGCATCAAATCTGCACATGGTATTAGGGCATGATGACGTCATTATATCGTTTCAGTAAAGAATATAATTATTTTCTACGAATAACCAAGAAACGTAACAATAATCCAACCAGATTATAAGATACAATATAATGTCTGAGAAGCACTTCACGTGCTTAAAAGAAAGACAACTCGCCTTTTTACATTTAAACTCCGATAATTCTGGACACACATCGATTTGAAGGCTCGAATTTCGTCCATGAGCTGTGAACACTATCATGATTGGCTTAGCTGAAAAAAATCACGTTTTAGAGACTTAAGTATGATTGGTCCAAAAATGGCGCATCTGTCCCTTTAATGAGACATCGTCGCTTTTTACAACACGACGTCAGTTTTGAGTCCCAGTTTTAAAGTCTCAATTACAATCAACTGGACAACTAAATTTATAAATGATACAGCTAAGACAACGGATTCGAAAGAAATAACAGATTGAAATTTTTTATTTGCTACATAAGAAATACATGTATCATGCCATTTTCTTTTACTAATTGCAACTATTGAGTAACATTAATTGACGCATCGATGACTGCTTTTGGCACTTTTTGCACTCCCTACAATCACCACGCCTTTTTCAATTTTTAGAGGAATTAAATCTTCGATTGTTTTGAACTCGGCATTGTCATCATTATTGGGAATTTCGAAATAAGGGGAATAACATTTCAGGTCCAATTTGAACACAGGATGGTGTAATCGAGGAATTTCTTTTCGTTTGCTGAACTCAACAATTTTGAAGTCGCTTACCGGACTTAGCATCCGGCGGTTTTCACTGAATGGTTCTAACGGTTTATATTTGGCAAGTCGGGCTAATTTCTTTTTATCAAAGTCCCTGGGTGAGGTAGCAATGTTTTCTTTAGATTCTACTTCTTCGCTGATGGGAAGTGAATCATTATCGACCACAACCGGAGTATCGACCTTGTGTTCTTGTCGTCTGAGAGTTTCTCGAATGTGTTTCGGTTGCCTCGTAAGAGGATTGTACTGGTTTTCACCAAGACTCAACAATGTCGTTCCAGATTCGCAACTGTCCTTCGACTCGGCGTATTGTTGGAACCTGCTCATGGGCTTCGTACCGTACACATTTTTCAGACGTTTTAATCTTTTCTGTCTTGGCATGCTCGCATGATGGAAAGATTGGTTAGAGTCTGATTCCTGAGGGACACTGCGTTTGGTGCTGACGATGAACAATTGACATTCTTCGGGATCGAATCCCAATGCACTTTCTGAGTCATGGTCGCTGGGAGAAGGCGAGTCGACGTTCTCGCGGTGATAAACAAAATCTTCCCGAGGCACTGGTGATACGACAATGTACTCTCGCTTTTTCTTATCTAATCTATCGATCATCGATGGATTCCCATTATTAAGCTTGAACAGCGATTTGAGTTGAAGTTTGTAAATGTCTCTATCGATAAGAATTGGTTCCTCGGTATTCACAGAACGCAAATCTTTATAGCATGGTGGGAAGTTGCTCATGCTTTCCTTGAAGCTCTTGGTCATCTTAGGAATGGGAACATTGGTATGGACACCCTTTTTCAACACACTTTCTTGTATATCTTGTTCCATGACTTTGCGTTTAGCCTTCGTTGTAGTTTCGTCTGGCATCTGAGAAAACCACTCCTCCAAATTTTCGTTGTGGCTGTGAGCAAGGTTTTCATTTTCGATCACACTGGTTTCTGGAATTATACCCTTGGTTTTTACACCTTTAAGTTTGGGAAACGAAACTGATCGCTTGTAATCTGGTACATCTAGAAATGTTACACGGCTTGGTTTCTTCTTTTGGGTTTCTAGTTCTTGCTTCTTGTAGAAACTGGTCCATGTTGATTCCATGGACGGTGACAGATCGAACAATCGAGTTGAGTGGCGTTTGATTGGTGAATCATGTTGATAAGCAGAACTGCTCTTGCTAATGGAAGAACGTCGGAAAGTAGATCCTCCAGCGTAAGATGACTTCGCTACATCGTAAGATAGGTCTAGCTCTTGTGCTAACTGAGGAAGAAAGGAGTTATCTTCTGGGTGATTGAAACCATAGATACCATGTTTACAGCAAACCTTTTCAGATAACAAACAATACCAGTCTCTTGGGTTAGTGATGTCTTTTCCATTTCGATATGCTGCTTGTCCACCTTGTGAAGTTGACGGGCCACTACCTCTTCTATCTGGCTTCATATTACTATCTTGTGATTACCAACAAAACTTCGTATATTTTCCGACAGCTTATTCAATAGGCTATGTGGCTATTCTCTAGTAGATGATCATTTTCTGAAGAAAAAATAAATATAACTCCTACTAATTTGATGGACCATAATATTCATTACATTTTTGTACCATTCAAATTTTCAGTCAATCGTCTGTGGTTCCTGCAATTCCACAAAAAAAACAAGTTCTTGATGAGTCACATATTTTAACATATAATGCTTGTATCATATGAGACGCTTCGCGATTTGTGACGCCATCACACATTTAGTTTTGGTGGAATTGCATTAACCACAGACGTTTGACTAAAAATAGGAATGATGCAAATTCATTCTATCAGTGTCCCCGATACAAATACAATCGGTTTTCAGATCTTTTTACAACCCCCTTTAGTAATGCATATATACAAATTGAATAAATGGATCTCTTTATCAGATCGGCATTCATATTTCATCTTGGTCGAACAAGCATATTATAGTAGCTATATGCCCTTTAATTTTCATTTCGTCAATCAAGTCACGATGGTCGTTCGATATATCCTATCGTCACAAAAGATACTATTATAAAAACATACAGTCAAAGCATAGAACACGATAATATGACAATAGTATGTATTAACAATAAACGACTTTGTACAAGTCAATGTTATTCAAGCTAAAACCAATATTGACAATCTGTATAATACATGAACTTTCAATGTCGGATTAAGGGTGGGAATAGACGAGGTACGGTTTTCAGTGCTGCATACTTGTGGGATTGTCGATATAATAGTCGAAAATAGAGGAAGCCAATAATACCCGCATCGCGATCACATTTTATTCAACGCATATTGTGAACAGAGACCGACATGAAACGTATCTTCGAAGATATCAATGACATTCTTTCTCTGAATGGAAAAGCATTGTTAACTACCAGACTATCCTGTAGAGATCAGACATTCGCTACCAATTCAATGCCCATTTGTTTGTCTTGGCTAACGAGATGAGAGAGACTGCCTTCGGGTTTCTAATCATGATAGGAGTTGCTATTTTCCAGCATCGATGTCAATATCATGGGTTGGAATCGAAAATGTACTACAGCTTAAAAATGTAAATTGTGATCATTCATTAGGAACAACGTGATAAAACCAAGCCCGTAGCTACAGGAGACAATGCACCCCACCCCAAAAAAATAAAGATTGCCCCCCCCCCCTCAAAAAATTCTGATAACCGACTAATTCCATTACCCTCCGGATATATGACGTGTCCTTCCGAACAATCAAGTAATGGCTACGGGCCTGAATAAAACATAAACAATATTATCTTACCTTCTCCAAAAAAATCTGTGTTTTGTAACCATAAATCCTGACCAATTTCGCTTAGAAACTAAACTAAACTAAACCATAATAATCACTACGGCCTGACATTAAGCTTAATAAGATTAACAATACGCGTGGTATATACAAATTCATATAAATCTGTTGTAGATAATCTACATTCGGGTATGTTAGTATTAAGACACTCGAAAATCTGACTCACACAAGTTCGAAATTCACCACATGCAATATAAATTTATGAGAATTTGATCAGTAATGTGTGAAATAATGTCAAAATATTACGTCACGTGAAATGCACTGGAGTTTTACGTCCTATTATTCTGCTACTGGTTGGGCAAATGAAACATTAGTGCCAAGACCTTGCCATTAACCTACTTTATGTATTATTACCGGTAGCATACGCGTGTACAGGTGGAGCATCCGCCCCTCTAAAATTCGGTAATTTTTTTTTTTATATGAGTAAAGAACTACGAGTAAAGTCTTCGTCAAAGAACTATTTCATTTTGTTTTGAGGGAATTTCTCACGTCACAACAGCTCCAAATCAACGATAATCCTACTAATCTAATAGTATTTAATCTTTCCATTATGAAAAAACATGTCATTCTTGTTTGGAGACAACCATTTTAACAAGAATATCAATGACTAAAGTACTTTTTATGAGAATAGATTGGTACTTTTTATGTTTCTAAATTACCATTTTTCACTGAAAACCTTAAGGACGGTAGTCAAGAAATTGCATAATAAAAATATAATTGAAAATCCATAGAAAATTTAATATTTTAAAAATAAAAATGAAACATTAACTAATTCAAGAATTGTGAAAATACAACGGCGAAAAATGTGTTTTTTTTTTTTTTAATTTCAGATTTCCTCATAAAGTCATCATTCGTATTTGAAAGTAAGCTAGCCTAGGCAGTTATTTTGCGAGTTAGCTTCTCGAATGAGTATATATATATCATTTTAATGCTTAAACTTAAAAGCATTCAGAAATTTCAAGAAGCTCATACACTTCATTTCACTAAACATGCAATCAGCTAAGACAGCCAAAACGGGGAATCTAGAAGGTGTTAGCTCCCTTGAAACACAATACACTGTTAAACAGTCACTGCCATTGGTGAGTTAACAACTTAAAAGTGAAATTTTCAATTTCTGTTTCATGTTGCTCGTCAACTTTGGGGTCGGTGAACATGGAAGAACCGACAAGGCGTCGAAATAAGACGTATAACATGAAGGTTATGGTCCGAGATTCAATCGTTTCGTTGGAAGTTTAGGTCTGATGTCCTTCACCAACATAGGGTCAGTGGCACCAACAAGCGCGAATGATCCGGCATAGCGTTGAGATATGATGTAACAACAAGCGATGGACCAAGCGTCAACATCCAAATGCCATGATCAGCACCCATGGAAGATGCCTAAACTGATGAACTCTGGAGAGTTTTATGTGAGTCGACTAACATTCTGGCACCAATATTTCAGACGAGTTGTTGCCAAAGCCTAACAATCCCCCGCACTCCTCGGTGATTAATTCATATCAGAACGATATTATCGGAGTCTGTGAAATAATGAACAGATTCGTAGCTATAATATATTTTATTGTTGTCCATCAGACTAGTATGATATAAATCTCTTTCAGATCATTTCCTGTTATTCCAAAGGCCAAAAGTCTTACGCGTACTTTTTTACACGATCATCTGTTCTTTATCTTGACACATTGACATAAAACAACCCGATGATATGATAATTCTTAGATTGCGTCAGTGTAAACAGGTACAGTAAGCACATGGGTTTTTTTTTCTTTGCTATTTCAGTGTTCAGGCCATCCATTGCTTGAAGGCATGCAAGGATATTTAGGAAAGAACGAAAAACAGTTAAATTATGAACAGGACAGGTCCATCTTATCTCCTTGGCAACCATTATGCTTTTATTTTAAAACAAGGATATAACTGTTACCTCCTTCCTGTATGCTCCTTACAGAAAACAGTCTCTTCAAGACGCCATTTTGAACCTCACGTGTTGAAGCCCCTAAGTTGGTGCTGTCTTGGATAACTGATATCATTTCGATGATTATACTGTTAGAAAGATGCATTATGTGTTAGTACTCTCAGTTAATCTATCAAGCTGCTTTGCATTTAGATTCAGCAATTGGACGTCTTCGCCAAAGAAAAAGTCTGTGACCCTTAACATCTGAATCAGAACAATATTGCCAATTTGGCTTCCAGTAACAGTATGCAATAAGTGTTTAAAAGTTACATAATAATTCATGCGCTTTCATTTCCGATGAAAACTAATTGCGTCAACCAACAACAGTACTTTAAAACGACATCTTATGTTTACCTGAACTACCATGAACTTTGGCACATTCTTCGACCAAATTTGGGTTGAAAACTTGTCAATTCATTAAAGATAATATGTTAAATTGTGTTGTTATCATAATAAATCAGATAGTCAATATTTTCAATTTAGAGTCTATTTGATTAATTCAAATCTTTGTCTACAATCGATTTGACCTCATATTTTACATTATCTTTTCTGATAAAACTATGATAATATGGCGGAGAACATCATAAAAGGGAGTTACAAAGATTTCTTCATCATCATATGCATAATTCAGAAAGTAGAAAACTAATCAAAAAGAAGGGGTTTTGTGATGCGCTTTAATGTATATACACAACTCCATATTGTAAAGATTTTAAAAAGGTTTTCTAAAAAAAACACATTACATATATACACATGTATATGTTTCGGGATCAATTTGCGATTAGGGACGTCATCAAACACTTAGTTTTAGTGAATTTGCAGGAACTACGGCCGTCTGATTGAAAATTGGAATGATGCAAATTGATGCTATCAATGTCCCTGATACACATGACAAAAATTAATAGGCTGTGATTTCTCAAACAAACTACTATAGATCCCGTGTTCCAGATACTAGCCCGTCAAAACGGTACAAAAATATCGATAATAACCAAAACAGAATTCGTCGTCTGAAAATATGAATTATGAACACAATGATTCTGCTAATGGTAAAATATTTGTAGCCTACTGAGGTACATAAGTCTAGCTTTTCAGTGTTTTTTTTCTCTAAGAAACAGATTTTTGGCTCCTAAGGCTATGGCTATAACTTTAATGGTATTTAGTGACGTCCTGAATCTATTCATAATGTCTGAAAATATATATACAGGAAGATCGGATACCAATTAGAAGCTTCACGTACAAGTGTCCTCGATACACATAAACAGGCTAGAAACCCACTTTTGTATTCCTTTACGTAAAACTATCAATAATTCTCTGAAATCTAGTTATCAATAATCATATTCCATTCAAACGATTGATTTGACCAATCCTACTATGGAGGCCAGGAAATGAACATAGCCTGGGGTACCAACCACCATAAATAGCGGTGTTATCAGTTAAACCACTGTGTCAGTGGGTGTTAATAAAGTAATTAGGCAATTTTTTTCCATGTTCTAGACAATATCTTCGTGGGTCATGATATACTTGAACCATATATGGCACTGAATGCCAGACGCATAACCTTCACTCACAGCCGTTAGCGGTTGTATAAACTTAAACGTATGTTTTCGTTCAGAAAACCGGAAAACATGTGTAGATATGGAAATATTGTATATTTCGGTTCAATAAAATACAAAATTGGAG